ATTCCTTATTAAATAAAAAAACTATAAATACGAAAAAAATATATAAAAACTTATTATAAACCTCCGGAACTTTTAATAATTTTTTAAAAAGTATTAAAATTAAAATTAAATTTAGAACTCTTAGTTATTATGGTATTCTAATTAATAATTTTAAAAATATTATTAACTTATATTTTACGGGTTATTAAAAAAATATTTTTAAAGTCCTTAGGAAACTCTTTTAATATAACTCGATTTTTTTTAAATACTATTCGCTTTTAAAAATAAAAATATTCTAATTTAAATAATAACTTATTTAACTTAGCCTAGGCTTATTAATAAGCCTTAGCCTTTTTTTATAATTCCGTAGCCCTTTTTTAAAACTATAACTCTTTTACTTTCTTTTTATAATTAAAACGATTAGACTCCGTTATTAACTAACTAATTATACTTAGTTAACTAAGACTTATAAATAAAAACGTACTATTTACGAGTATAAATAATATTAATAAACGTATTATATAAAATATTTAAATAATAATATATTTTATAAACCTCGGAATTAAAAAAAACTAAATAATAGACCTTTTATAAATAATAATTTAAATAAAATATTATTTTTATATTTTTATTAAAAAAACAAATAATACGTAATAATTTATAACGAGACGTAGCTATTAAAAATTTCGATTTTTTAATTTAACCTAATATCGTATTAATATATTTTAAAAAAATACTTAATAATTCCCTAACTTAAGAATAAACGACTTATTTATAAGCCTAAAGGACTAGATTTTTAAAAAGAGGAGCTAATATTATAACTTAATATATATAATAAAATTAGGGCCTTGCCCTATAAAACTTATAGTAGCTATTATATTATATATATAAAAATACGGATTTAAAATAATTCTTTTTAAAATAAAAAAACTATAAATAAGTTACGTAATTATAATTATATAATAAAATAAGTAATAAATACTTATAAATAAGTAGGACGAATAATTATAAATAAATAGGATAGATAACTATTTAGTAAATAGTTAAATAATAATAAATAAGAATATTATAAAAAATATATTTAAGAACGAGACTTATATATAATATAAACTTAAGCTAGGCTCGAAAATAGACTTTTTATAACTTCTTTAATAATTAACTTAGTATTAAATCTTACGATCGCTTTTAGCTATTTTTATTAAAAACCCTTTTTAATAAGCTTATAATTAATTATTAAAACCTTATTTATTTTATAACTTATAAATATAGTTTTAGAAAAGCTATTTATAACTATAATACTATTTATTTAGTACTCGTAGCCTTAACTTTTATTAATATACTTACTATAACTAGCTAGCCGTAATATATAATAACTAAGTAAATAAAAATACGGTTTATATATATTTAAATAGTTTTATAACGTAGTTTAATATAGCTAGCTTAACTTAACTTATAATATATATTAAATAACCTATAAATACCTTAAATTATTTAATAATAAGCTCTACGTAGCTTAGATTTAATAAATTAGTTACGAGTTTTAATATAATAGTTATTATTTTTTTAATATAATAAGACTTTCCCTAAGAAAGTCCTTTAAAAATATAATATATAATTAGGACTTTAAAAATCGGCCCTATATTAACTTAAATAACTCCAATTACGTTATAACTAACGTCTATAAAGTACTAACTTTTTAAAAATCTAGTTTTTATTTACTTAGCTTTAGATTTACTAAATAAGATTTAAGAATTTATAACTTACGTAATTATAACTATTATACTTTTATAAACCTTACGTATTTTAAAAAAACTAAAGATATAACTAAGAGCCTTAATTAAAAACTTACCGCTTTTAAAAAGTTAACCCTATTACTTCGATCCTCGAAAATATTTAAAAATACCTAAGGATTTATAATAAGTAATAACCCTAATTAAACTCTATAAATAATTAAACTAATAAAAGCTACTAATTAGTATTTAAATCCTATTATTAATAATTAACTTATATACTTAATTAATACCCCTAAAACCTATCGAGTTACGTAGTTTTTATTAAATATATTACTACTTAAGTTATTACTACGCCTTAACCCGGCTCTTAATAAAACTAATTTAAGTAATTAGGGAGGTAGTCTTTTAAATACTCTAATTAAGGGCGAGGATAGCCCTATTATAAAGACTTTAATTAAAGTACTAAGGGTCTAGTTAAAATAAAAAATTATTAAACGTACCCTTTTTAATTATAATCGGATTATATAAAAAAATAGCGAACGCTAGTATTAAGGGCTAACTAAATTTTATTAAGACCTTTTATAATATTATAATATATATATAAATAAAGCTAATATTAATAAAAATATAAAAAAATAATAAGTTAATTAATATAACGACCCGATTATAAAAACTATATATATAACTTTAACTTATACTTTTTAAATATTATTATTAATAAAAAGAGTTAAAAAGAATTAGGGTAATAAAGGTTAGGATTAAGAGATTATTAAAAAAGAATAGGATAAGAATTAAGTAAAAAAGGCGGAGTAAGTAAAAAAAGTAAAAAAAGTAAAAAGAGTAATTATAAAAAAAAAGTAAATAAAAAGCTTAAAATAATTAACTATATATAGTAATTAGGACTAATTTAAAATAATTTCTTTTTATAAAAGATCGGGGGAAAAAAAAATTAAAAAATAATTAAAATAGGGTAGGGTAATTAGTCCTAGTAGTCCTTTTTAAAACTAATTAAGTCTAAGGATCTATAAAAAAGCTAATTAAAATAAAATATAAAAAAAAGGGCCCTAATTAAAAATAAGAGCTTAGTAATACGGATTTTTATTTTAATTATATATATACTTTTTAAAATCGAACTAAAGCTTTTTTAATAATTTATTTTTATATATAATAATATAAAATAATTAAGAAGTTTATTTTTTTAATTTAGTTAATACTATTCTCTTTTTTTTAGTTATAGCCCCGTTAATTAAGACCGTATTAACCCGATTAAAAGAGGTATTTTATATTATTTTTATAAGTATTAGTAGTCTTTTTAAAGCACCGTACCGCGAGAGTCCTTTATACTTTATACGTTTTTACTAAGTAAATATTTTAATATATATATTAACTATATTACGTTTATAAGCCCTAAGTAATTTATACTTAGTATTAAGCTCTTATTATTTTTAAATATTTTTAAATATATAAATCCTTTTTATAAGTATAATATAAAAATAGATTTATTTATATAAAATAAATAATATAATTAGTTTTATAAAAAAAGCCTAACTTAGCCCTATAAGTTATTTATATTTAAAGAAGTTAAAGAGTTCGTATTAAGAATTATATTTAAAAATTATTAATAAAAGATTTCTTAGTTTTTTTAATCGTTTTTAAACGCTTTATAACGTATTTAATAAGCTTATAATTCTTTTTTATTATAAATTATAATTAATTATCCGAATTTAAAAAGTAAAATAAGCGCTATAAAAGGGTTAAAAAGTATATTAAAATTTAGAATATTTAAGTCGACGTATTTCTAAACCCTAATACTTTTATTTATAGTATAAAGTATATTGAACTATTTAATTTAATTATTATAACTAATTAATTTAGCTTAGGCTAAAATAAGTTTAAGTATATTAATTATCTTAAAAAGATTATAAGAATCGTATTAATAAGTACGTTATCGCAATATAAGGTCTTAACTAAGAACTAAGTTTATAATTATTATAAGTTATTTATTTTTTATTTCTACTTTTACTAGCTATTTAAGTAGTTTTTAATATCGATTATATAGTATTAATATATAGTATTAATAAATACTTATACTATCTTAATAAACTATTCTTTTAGATTTTCTACCTTTTTACCTTTCCTTTTTATAAAGTTTATAACTACGGATTATTAATAGCGATATTACGTACCCGATGCTATTACTTTATAAACTACCTACTTAGCTAAGTTTATAGCTTACTAAGTAATAGTAGCTTATAACGGTAATATCGGAGATACCCTTATTACTATTATTAAATAATATTAACCTTACGATATCTACCTAAGTACTTTTAAGTTTACTTATATATATATATATTTATTACCTCGTTTTTTTGTTAACGTTAAAAAACGCTTCCCTTACTATTTATTACTATTATATTATTATATTATTATTATTACTATTTAACTATTTACCTTAAGTATACTTTATTAAAATACTAAAATACTTAATACTTATCGACTCTTAGGGCTTCTTTAGTAATTAAAAGTTCGATTTTATAAGTATTATACTAAACGACCCCGAGCTATAAAAAGATCGCTTTAATAAATACTATATCCGTAATATTAACTTATAAAAAATAAATAAATATATTATAATAAGTATTACTCTTATTAACGCTTTTTTAATATAATAAAATATAAAGAAGCCTAGACTTAATAATATAATTAAGAGCTTAGAAAGAGCGTAAGCGAGCGTATTAAATAAAAATATTAAAAAGAGGTTATTATTAAATAAAATAAAAAGAGAAAGTAAGAGGTAGTATTTAGCTATTTAGAGGGTAATTAATATATTATAGCGGGATCGTTCTAATAACGGCTACGGCCAGTTATAGTTAGTTATAAAGTCTTATTAAAGTATATAATAAAGATACTCAATATTAACCTTAATAGACTAGCTTGTTAGTATATAATAAAGATACTCAATATTAACCTTAATAGACTAGCTTATTCGTAAAGGCAAAGATAGCCCCTAATAAAGCGGACTGGACCCCAAAGGGTTATTATAAGTTATAGTATATAATAATAGGTATATAGAATATAATAAAAATAACTTAATTATTAAAATAGAAATAAATAAAAAGAAAAGGTCTATATATTCGATATTTAAAATAAACACGTGATTTAGTACGTAACGGGTACTTCGTGAGATGCGATTACTATCCCTGTTACGTGACATATCTCGAGACGCGGAACTTCGGAGACGAAAACCCGCTGCCTTTGATCGACCATAGCTGCTTCGTTGACCCAGATTTAATTCTCAACCCCCAGTGCTTGTACTGCCTCCAGAGTAGCAGCATAGAAAGGGCTGTCATCACCCACAGCCTCCTTCTCGAGCTGCAGGCCCTTCAACGCCAGCTCGCATCCTTCCTCTCTCTTTCCCAAGTCAAACGCTTTGCGAGCGGTAGCGATATACATCGTCGAGACCTCCCGTCCGCGGATAGCCTCCGCCTCGTGAGCGTCCAAGAGCGCAAGCATCATCATGAACTCGTCCTCCGGATCCTCAGAAGCAGCTTCGGCGAAGAGCTCCAGCTTGCGCTGAATCTCCGCCCGGCGCACCTCGCCGGCTTCTGACGAGGTCGTCGGACTGCAGGCAGAGCATCCACAAGTGAAGCCGTACCCATCATGCAACGCGGTCTGTCGGGATTGCCGCAGGCCCAGATGTTCGTCGAGGTAGGAGATTGTGATTTCTTCTTCCGGCTCAATGTTTCTGGTAGCGTGAATGGTGAATGCGTTCAAGTCCTTGTTGAAGTTTCCTTGCGCGTTAGGGACACATGAGTGGTTCAAGCGCGCAACTTGAGGAAAGAGCGCTTGGGTCTGGTTGCCAATGTTGAAGTTGTTGTTCCGAAAGATATTGAGAATGGTGTGGTTAGACACTGTGTCTTGTGGAGCAGACTTGCTTCGCCATATTGACTCTAGCCAGCTGAAGACGCTTGACTTGCTGGGATTGGTTGATAATGAGAGTAATGAGTCCCGGCCAGTTGTTGAGAGAAGTTGGGCTTGTCGCAGGATCGAGTTGCTATCTGAGGATGTGATTGTGAGTAGAGCTTGGTCTGTGAGGATTCTTTGACCTGTGAGAATTGGTCTCGAAGCAAAGACCCCGAGGCCTTTCCCGATTGCCTGTCGAACAGTGAACATCTTAGCACGCTAGTAGGTTGGTTGTTTTTGCGAGTGATGTGTTGACATTGAAGGTTTGAGCGGCCCCTGACAGAGGAAAATATTCCGTGGCCTAAAGAGGCAAGGGGGCGATTGCGGAGATTGCCGATTTCAAAGACATACTGGGACGCCAAAGGTTCTCGCGTCTCTTATCGCTAAAGTTTCACAGACCTGAGGTACTACCACTGAATAACATAGGTTCACCAATATCCTTTGAGTATTCAACCATCAAGATTCGGCTCCTTTCAAGCTTGCACCCGCTCAAGCCCACTTGTCTCCAGTGTTAAATAGTATCATCATCTTAATTACCTCCACTCAGTTGCCACTTGTCAAGCTACTGCTTGCTGGTTGTAAAACTATAGGCATGTAGCTTAGAGCACGTCTGATGGCAGCTTATGTCTAGATAACCATGATCAGGCACAAATGGTTGATTATTTTTGGTGTTGGTTCATTCAATGTTGTCTAATTTTGGAAGGTGGAAAGCACTGTCTGCGAATAAGAGTGCCTGGTAACAATTTCGGTTCTCCTTTACACAGTGTCCAGTACGTATAATCCAGTTATACGTACTATGTTCATTGGGCCTAAGCAGGGATGCGTTTTCGTTTGCAAACAAACATCATCTTTCACCCAACAACACCACAATTTTCCATAATTGAGAAATCCCCCGCTCTTCCTCAGAATGGCTATCCAAATAGTTTCCGACCTTCATCTTGAGTCCCCGAGAGCTTACGATATTTTCGAAATCGTGCCACAGGCACCTTACCTAGGCCTTCTTGGCGACATAGGAAACGTTGCTGCGCACAAGGAGGAGTGCCTCGCTTTCTTGACACAGCAGCTTCAGCAATTTCGCGCTGTTCTATTCGTCCCTAGAAACCATGAAGCCTATCACTCAAGGTGGGATTTCACTCTCAAAATTCTTCAGGATTTTCAAGCAGCTGCAAAAAAGGACTCGTCACTGGGAGACTTTGTACTACTCGACCGCTCTATGTTCCAGGTACCAGACTCCAACATCGTCATCTTAGGCTGCAGCCTGTTCTCCTTCATCCCACCTGAAAGAGCCGATTCAGTCAGCATGGGATTCCAGGACTTCTTCCAGATCGAAGATTGGGAAATCAGTTCGCATAACGAAGCCCACAAACGAGATCTTTCTGGGCTCAATTCCCAAGTCGCAGAGCTCGAAAAGTCTGAGGCCAGAATCATCATCTTTTCACACTGGAGTCAGCCATCCGGGAGTGATATCAACCTGCACCAAAGTTGTTCCTTGCTTGTAATAGAAGAACTGTGCCTGTTGAACGAATGGAGAGCTTGGAAGAGAAAGCAACTTCTGTTTGATCCCATGCAGAGCACTGTCGATGTTGATAATGAAGTCGACGTCCTGCATTGATCAAAGTCAGATGCGAGTCTCGGTGAACTTTGGCAAAGCTGATTGACAGTCATCCAGCTGCTGGTGAAACATACCTCAGTGGTCCTGCTAGTAGGAACATACTTCCACAGCGCTAACCCGCCAATCACGGCGACTCGAGCATGAGAATATTCCGGGATGCCTTTCAGGATGCTGATAACCTCAGAGGCAGCGTTTTCAAGAAGAGTTCCCTAAGTCATGGTCTCGAACGAAAGAAAGAAAAAACACTAAAAATTATTTGGATAGATAGACTGTAGATAGTTACTGGTGATCGGTGAAGCGAGGTGCAGGGATGCTAGATTGATTATAAGAGGTTACACAGAGCATGCGCGTTCATTGATATAACAAACATTTTAGACCCCAAGAGCCATGGCTCCCAGCGAAACTCCAGACCGTAGTGCAACCAAGGGGCCTAGGCACTCACCTCTATCCGAATCGAGAATGCTACAGGGACAAGCCGCGATACGCTGATATCAGTCCCAACATTGAATCAACATCGAACCAACAAAGTGACAAATAACTTAACCAATAAGACCAACCAACGGCATCGAACAAGACGTGACGAAGAGGCCGCGACAACTAAGGCTGAACTAACATCAGTCTTGGCGAGTCGCTCCGGGTGGGGAGGCGAGATGCAACGTCGGAGGCGAGTCGCCGAAATAGCCCAGCAGCAGACTGCGAAAGTGGACGATATCGTAGTGGTTGCAATCTAGGCCGGCGGCCGGGTCCTCCAGGATGTTGACAAGAAGTGCACCCATGTCTTGGGTCAAGGGTTTACAACGAAGGTTGGTGAAAAGGCAGCCAGCGTGATTCGTGTGTATGATGATCGTACACAACCCGGGACATGAGTTGGCCAGGCGCTGGCACAACCTGGCCATATAAGAGAACCGTGATGACTGTAGAACGACATGGCGGAATCTTGCCAAGTCTTCGAAAGTGAACGCATCCAACAAAGCCCCCGCGGACCGGTAGTCCCCGAGTGAAACGACCGTTTTTTGCAGATCGATCCAATGAATCGCACTACTTGCCGCCGAGTGCGTTGGTCTATGTATGGGCTTGGCGTATAATTGTTCCATTAGCCGCCGCGACTCCTTGCAAGCAAGGCCTGCTAGATAGGGAGCCGGACCAACATGGTTCATGATGAGGGGCAGATGGCTCTTGTTGGCGTTGTTGGTTGCGGTTGCTTTACGATTCACAGCCCAAACGGATGGCACCGAAAGCGCTTCCGTCCATATCTGCAGTCGTAATTCTGGGGGCAAAGCTCCGAAATAAGTAAAGCGATGCGCTGCGTCCATGTTGTACCCCAAATGAAGAGCGGAAATGAAGGAAGCGTAATACTTGCTGTGCTAGCGTGACTTCGAAGGCGGAGTGTGTGGGTTGTAGATGACAAGTTGGCTGTGAGAGGTTGCCCAGCCGCCTGGCCAACTTCTTCAGCAGGCAGCGTCTCCACACGTCCGCGGTAAATACAGCGGCCTGGGTTAAATTCCAAGACCCAACCAACTTGCTTGACCACTAACAATATTTACCTACACATGCTGTTCAGGTCATACGTTGAATGGCCATGATCTCATCACACATCACCAATGTCGAAAGAACAAACTGGAGTCGCAGGCACTGTTCAATGATCAAAAATGCTCGGAATGTTTCGAACTTCAGAACACTTTGTAGAGTCGGTTTTCTCGGCCCTCAACGCATCAAAAACTCCCTGCGTACTCTGGGGACACTATCTGCTTAATGTCCATGGCGTGCCTTCAATCATAGGGGTAGGTTCATTCCGAGCATTTGCATTGGTGTCTTGAATACCAAGGCTAACAAACAGAAAGTCTATAGATTTTGTCGTCCAAGATAAAATGCTTTCGGTCGGCGCCGATGCTATTTCAGAATTACCCGAAATCGAGCAATGCCCATCCGTGGAACTATGCTTTGCGAGCTCGCCTGAGCGCCGAACACCACCGCCTGCATTTCATGTGCACATCAAATCCTCGGAGCTCACCATAGGGTTATACCTACAGTCAGAAACACTATGGTTTCTACCAGACTTTGATGATTCCCTCTTAGCTTTCGAAGACAAGCAATCAGCGACATTTGCTCTTGCTCATAACCGAGATGTGCTTCCACCCTGGCGACCGGGTCGCGGATCTGGTGCTTTCAAATCTACCGACACCTCCATTGTCGTACCCAGATCTCACATACTGTTAGAGGCTTACCTGCGACTCTATGCTCGTGACTCGGGCAAGACAATGGGCTCCTTCGCCATGGCCATGATCGCCTACATGGAGGAATATGTTGACGACGACGGTTTGCTCGACTCGAAACAACTTCCGGAACCGCTGAAGTCATTTTACGACGAGCTTCGAGTCGGTGAAAAGCCACTCCGACAGTGGACAAAGGAATTCAAAGAGAGCCTTAATATTTCTGACGAAGAGTCTGAGGATGAGGATCTCTGGTACTGAAGGATAGGGCAGGTCATCGTGATGTTGATACTGTTGGTATCCCTATTACAGGGTAGTTGGTTCGAACCGTGGGTTGACGAAGAGATCAATTGAACTATATGAATATCTGCGTAGTAGGTGTAAAAAGGAGGTTCCAACCGTAGGTTGGGCTGGCTACGATAATCGTAAATAGGGCCCCCAATTGGCCCCTGCGCAGTCGGCTGTATGCCGCGGTCGAATTGGACTTCCAATCCGACAGATACTATCATTCTTCACCCTTTCACATTCGCGGGGCTATCTATCCTGTATATCGCCCTTGCAGTATTGAAGTATCCTTCATATTCAATAATGTCTTCCTCTCCTTCGGCTTCGTAATGATAGTGACCTCCAGCATTCTTTCCCAGTGGAGAAAACGCGTGCGTGTGCTCAATCCTCAAGCCCATCTTGTTGCCCGGATCCGCAGAGTGCAATACGCATAGTCCCACAACGGGCGAATCGAAATCATGAAAGGTCAACCATTTCTCAACTTCCTTTCTATCCTCAAAAGGCAGATCGCTCTCAGCAGGGAAATCAGGCATGATGTGGTAAGTTGCCTTCCCTGCCTTCACAACAAAGGCTCCGCCGAGACTGATAGTTCTTTCGTTGCCATATGCAGCATTCAGCCCTTTCCGGATACACTCGGTAAAGCTCTTTTCAGAACCCTTGCGGCCCTTTGCTGTAATCTTGAGGACCGGTCCTGGCTCGCCCAAGGAGCCGTACAAGTTGACCATAAGACCGCAGTCTACGGAAGGGCTCGTTCCAACGCTGACTTCTCCGGTGGTGCGTTTGATCTGGATGACTTGACTTTTGCTATCGACCTTGTCAAGACCCCCTTGCCAGCTAAGATTCGGCGCAAGCTCGCTGTTCTGCCCGATGACGTGGAAAGGACCGGCGCCGGCACCGATCAAGCTGCCCTTTTCAGGGCTCATTTCCATATTCTTGCCAATCTCTGGTATGGACCAGATGCTGTCAAGCCGGGGGCGGGGAAAGAGGTTCGGCTGGCCGCCAACATCTGCGATTTTTTCCTCCCCTGAGAGGCCCTCGGTCGCCAAGTGAAAAGGTGCTTTTCGCAGGTCGGGACAATTGACCACAGCCACTGATGCGTGCTTGTAGTTGGCGTCCAAGGGAGCTTTGAGTCGCTCGACTAACTCTTCCAGGCTCGGGGGCGATAGGAGGAACTTTTCGACACGCATCGTGAGAGTGTGAGGGGTATTAAGTTCTAAGTTTTTTCCGAGCAGCTGGTTCTCGACGTTCGAGGTAAGTACGAATTGCTGCCTTATTTGAGTCGATAAGACGTTGGTTTTATTACTAGAAGTGCAATGTACTTAGTAGAGGCATAGTCGAAGAGGTTATTGTCCGGCCCGTATGACGTGATGCAAGAACCCCGCTGTGCGGATCGGGAATGCCCCGGCAGTCGGTTCAGAGCTTTTTGAGTGCAGCCACGACACATGTACCTCAATTTGAATGGTTTTGGTGTCTGCAAGTTCAGGCGGCGTCTTCTGAGACTTTTGTTTTACTTGCTCTACCTTCTTCAATCTTTCCCTAAACTGCTGCAACCCAAGTAAAATCATGTGCACGTCTCCATACATTATGTTTTTCTATAATAATAACAAAGACAAGATTTCTAGGGAATGTTTTCTGTTGAAAGAAATGTCTCACTTACGGCCAAACCAAACCTACCATGAGTGGGGGAAGAGAAATCCCTAAAGTCATGATAAACCCTCGTACAGGCTGGGAGTTACTTAGGTAGGCTACAGTAGTATTGAACCATAGAGCACTGATTTAAAGCACTAGACTTACGTTGTGGAAATAACGGTCGTATTCAACAAAACCTAAATTTCACTCAATTACTAATTATAGCTAAGTAAGCACTGAAATTATGCCAAAACATATTCTCATAAAAACTTGTCCCATTCTCTGATGCTATCGCGTTAATGGACATGGAAATGTTGAGTGAGCGGAAATAAGCTCGAATAAAACTCCAGTCTTCGCAAACGCTTTCGAAATTTCATCAGAAGTATTGCCTCTGTCGTGTTCGTATGTTGGAGTCTTAACGGCTACCTTTCGGAGGCCAGGTAGTTGACCGGCCAAGCATGATGATGCCAGACGAAGCAGCATCACAGTCAGAGGTTCAGTGCTAGCATCTAACCTCTCATGAATCCAAGGACGAGAGCCTGGGGCTAAAGAGTACAGGCAGTATCTTGGGTCCGAGTACCAAATGTCATGGAGAGTCAATTGCGTGAGCTTGGGCGGCAGACGCGCAGTGATGTCTGCGTTTGCCATGTCTTCGGAACTTCTGAAGATGGTTGGTAATTCGGTCTCCAACACAGTCAGATATTCCAAATCTGTGAGACATGTAAGACATGGTTCATCGGGGGTCCGAAGAGCTGAGAGGTCCCCATGTAACAGCGTAAGTCTCTGCAAACGCGGGCAGAGTGTTGAAAGCGTCGTCGATAGGTGAGTGGTGATCCCCGGGTGTGTGGTTTGCTGGAAACAAGGAGCGAAAAAGTGATAGTCAATCTCGATTTCGAGAACTCGAAGACCGGGGCACAGCTGGAGTAGTCGGCATAACTCGGGTCCGCGGATGGCAGTTTCGTGGAAACGAATTTGCTCCAAAGCAAAGGGTCCAGCCGCGGCGACTTGGGCGAGACCTCCCCATCTATCGTTGTCGTATCGCGTAAGAATCGAAGTGAGAGGAGGCAGGGCAAGCAGGCCAGTGAATATACGAGGAACCGCGGGAATGTTCATGAAGTACACCGCAGGGTCTTCCAGTTCCAAGTGCCGCAAATTGGGTAAGGTCCCCGGATGACCTGTCGCATTGCTATGAGTTGGTGTAAGCCGTTTCCGCAATCCCCTCTCACATTGCTCGGCTGACTCCCATATTACGCGTAATGTCAAATGTTGCACATGAACCCCAAGTTCAGGTGTTTCGATGAGGGACCGGATGAGAAGACCAGCGGCGTCTTTGGATTCGTCCAGGTTGATATTAGAAAAGAGTTGAGAGTTGCAGAGAAGGTGAAATATTTGACAAGTTTGTGAAAGATTCGACAAGGTCCGGGTATCTCTAGCACCATCGTATCTGTCTCTCCTCAAAAGAGCGACGGAGTCGACGATGCAACGGATGAGCTCGTTGGGAAGGTCCAGCAGGCGTTTCTTCGGCATCAGCATTGACCCCGAAGTCGCCAGCGTTGAGTATTCCATGATGATGCTCCTCTACAACGCGTTCACAGCTCTTTAAGAGCTAGGTGCGAAGTGTATTGGCGGTTCAACATGTGAGAAGCATGCAGAAACCGGCTGTATTGCGATGAGCGAACTCGAATCTGTGACATCAAGTCGGCAAGAAGGGAGTGAATGGGGTGGCGTCATTCTGACTTTTTACTTCCATATTCGAAGAGGCTGGACAAGATAGGGGCACAAGGGCAGAACCGGCCACTAAGATCAGACGGACCGAGCGCTAGAAGAGGCCAAACGGAGGGCCGAGGTTTTTTTGACGCTAAAATCTTTTGTCATTATTAAATTCGCAAAACGGTTCAAGCTTTGTGACATGATGAGATTTTTCCTTTGTGTCGAAATGGATGACGTGGGAGTATTACATGGAAGTAGCACAACGGAATAAATGGAGGAGTACTGCTACTTCCTAATCTGGTAAGTACCGTTTGGATAACTGACGATGAGGGCACACCGAGCTCGGTGAAGAGCAAGCGATTACATAAGCGAAGTGAAGCCCACCGTTGTCTCAGCAACGCGCCACACGACCCACATGGCCGATCTGTTATCGTTATCAATAATCAACACCACAACACTGGGCATCCTTTTCTAACGCTGCCCCATTTCGAACTTGAACATCGACAACCTAGACGCAGTACTCCAGCACCACATCACTCGGAGACGCGACGGCAACTTGCCGCGACGATACTAACCATGGCAGTCTCCGACGATCTCATCAACTTCGACGTTATTGAAGCACAGAAAGAAAACATCCAGGCGCTGCCCAGTGGTCGCTCCGCCAAAAAGCTGGCTCAGCTGTTCTCGCCCTCGCCTCTGCAGAAGCTGAACACACCGACACCCTCAGACACCAAAAATGTCAACGATTGCATTCGAATCGAGTACGAAGAGGAACTCCAAAACATCTCCGAGTCGGACGATCCTCTAGACATTTACGACCGTTACGTGCGATGGACCCTGGACGCATACCCCTCGGCGCAAGCAACACCACAATCTCAGCTTCACACGCTCCTCGAGCGCGCAACTAAGACCTTCATTGGTTCATCACAATACAAGAACGATCCCAGATACCTCAAGATCTGGATTCTGTACATCCAATTCTTCGCCGACTCGCCGCGAGAAACCTTCCTCTTCCTGTCGCGACACAGCATCGGAGAGTCACTTGCCCTTTTCTACGAAGAATACGCCGCCTGGCTCGAGGGCGCTGGCAGATGGAGTCAAGCAGAGGAGGTGTACAAGCTCGGCATCGAGCGCGAGGCAAGACCAGTACAGCGCCTGATTCGCAAGTTCAAGGAGTTCGAGGAGAGACTTGCCCACCAGCCTGAGGCCGACAACGAGCCCTCATCGCCAGCACTTCCCACCGTGCGGCCCGCTTTGGCTGCAAAGATTGACCCCTTTGCTGCCGCCCGCGCTGCGGCCGCTGTAGCTGCGGACCCCCAGGCCCCTCGACCCAGCCAGGGCGTGAGCACAACGGCGGCGAAGCCTGGCAAGGCTAAGATGTCCATCTTCTCGGATGCCGACTCCGCGCCTCCTGCGTTGTCGTCGCGTGGACCAAGCTCGAAGGGATGGGATTCAATCGGCTCCCTGGGCGACCGGAAGAAGGAGAACGTAATGGAGCCCAAGCCGTGGGCAGGGGAGACATTGAAGGCTGGCGGGAAGAAGAGCACTGCTCCGAAGATGGCTATCTTCAAGGATACGGTAAGCACCAATTTACTTGAACTTCCCAATGCCTGGATGTTGATGATTATAGGACTAATATTTGGCTTTATGGCGTTTCATGTAATTCAGTCTCAGTTGCAAGCAAAAGTGCAACCCAAAGCCCAATCACGATCATCACGAGCGCAAATGTCCAAGTCCCATATTACACTCGTGCCATCAAAGAATCAAACAGTAGTGAACCCCGTAAGCGGGAAGAAGGAGCGCATTTTTGTTAGCCTCGAGGCCCTCTATCCCACTCCCGAAGAACCTGGCTCAGAGCTTGGTTTTGAGGAAGTTTGGGCCATGAACCGAGGCTGGCTGGATGTCTCCTGGGACGACGTATCACTAACTGAAGAGATCCCTTCCGAGATGATGAGCGTTGAGCCTTCCTTGGTTGACGATCTCAGCCATTTAGTACGGGAGAAGATGGTTGTTCACACAGAAACCGTAGTTATGGATGAGAACGGAGCCATAGTCAAGAAAAAGGGGGGCAAGAGCAAGAAAAAGAAGACGATGGAGGTGAACGAGACTCAAATCAGTAAGCGGCTTCCATTTCCACAAGTTATGTCGTGTTCAAGCTGACATTTTGATAGTCAAAGCAAATCTAGACTCACCGTCTAGGCCGAAGCTGAAGAAGAGGAACACGGCTGAGCCAACGATGACGCTCCATACTCGTGCTGCTACGGATGAGATCTACGAGATTTTCAACCAACCCATTCAGTCTAATCCTCTGGATGATGAGGAAGAGGAGGAAGAAGACGAAGAGGAAGATAGCGACGAGGACGACGACTACGAGACAGATGGCGACTACACTGAGGTTGAGAACACCATGACTACTCGCCTGATTGAAAACGACAACGCCGTCGAAGAAGCTGACGAAGATGGCTCGGATGTCAAGAGTATCAGTGAATGGTCTGACTTCTCCACGCGCAAGCACGTCCCTGTTCTTGACGAGGACGCGACCCAAGCCGGTGTAGACGATACCCAAGCTTCCGACTTGATGAATCCGGACTACGCTGAGCGTACCGGTCCTCTACCAGATGAGCAGACTGCCTCCCAGGATGGCAGAGAATCAGGCGATGAGCAGGAGGCCGAAGAAGAGGAGGAAGGTGATGAGGATTACCCGCCAAGAACGAAGACGATTTTCGTTCCGATACCCCCAGAGGATTATGAGCCCAGGACACGACCGTTTAGGGATCCGGTCGAGATGGCCAATAACCGTCTCCCCTTCATGACTCCGATTACGGAGAGAACCGAATCTTCTCTTGCGTTTACAGAACGGAAGGCGAGGTACGAGACTCCGTCACGTGAGGAATATGAGTCCACTATCCATGAGGAGGACTCTGACATGGAAGAGCCGGGTAGCAGCCCATTGAGGGAAGTCCTGAGCGAAGTTCGACCTATCAAGATTGCCCAGCCACTCCTCGGCAAGGCAAAGTCTGCTCCGCCAAAGCCAGCACCTCCCAAGGGACCGATCATCAAGGAGTTGCAATGCAACCCAGTAGATGAAGCCGTGAGGAATGAGATCCTCGCCAATATGCATCCTTCTCTTAACTCATACCCTGGATTCTACGACCATAGCCACGAGAAGTACGAAAAAGGCAATGAGATCCGCAAATTCGCTAAGGCCATGACGAAGGCAGCCAAGGGTGGAGACAGAGTTAGCAATGCTTGTGCCATGGTCACAATCGAGTTCCCCGACATTGCGACAGAATATACCATCAGGAAAGAGCTCGGTGCAGGCGCTTTTGCCCCGGTATATCTGGTTGAGAACCCGGACGCAGACCAAGAAGACGAGGACGAGAACGGGGTCGTGGCCATGGGCAAGGGCGCATTTGCCGTCAACCATCGGAGCCCTCTGGAAGCACTCAAGATGGAACTTCCTCCAACGCCCTGGGAGTTCCATATGATGCGTCTTGCCCACACGCGCCTGGGTCCTCGGCACCGCGCAGCCGCCTCTGTTTCTTACGCCCATGAGTTCCACCTCTACCAGGATGAGGGCTTCCTCTTCCTTCCCTATCACCCCCACGGCAGCGTCCTCGACGTTGTCAACTTCTTCCGCGCCGAGCCGTCTGCCGTCATGGACGAGCAGCTGGCCATGTTCTTCACCGTTGAACTGTTCCGCACCGTCGAGGCCCTACATGCCCACGGCGTCCTCCATGGCGACCTCAAAGTCGATAACTGCCTCCTCCGTCTCGACCACGGCGGCAACGACCAGCCTCTATCAACGCAATATAGCGCTACCGGCGCAGGCGGCTGGGACGCGCGGGGCGTGACCCTCATTGATTTCGGTCGCGGCATCGACATGCGCAACTTTGCGCCCGACGTGGGTTTCATCGCGGACTGGAAGACGAGCGCGCAAGACTGTGCCGAGATGCGCGAGGGTCGGCCGTGGACGTGGCAGATTGATTACCACGGCCTCGCGGGCATTGTCCACTGCCTGCTGTTTGGCAAGTACATTGACACGGTTCGCTGTGACCAGGGCGGGATCGGGGCAGGCGGGCGCAAGTACCGCGTCCGCGAGAGCCTCAAGCGGTACTGGCAGACGGAGATCTGGTCGGAGTGTTTCGATTTGTTGCTTAACCCGGGGTCATTTGTCGCCGCGGAGGAGGGCGCTCGCATGCCAGTCCTCAAGAGCATGCGTAGCGTCAGGGAGAAGATGGAGGCATGGTTGGAGGGTAACTGCGAAAGGGGTGTTGGGTTGAAGAGTCTTGTCGGTAAGGTCGAGGCTTTTGCCAAGGGCAGGAGATGAGGAAGAGTATTGACATGCCTATCTTGCGTAAGATTGGACGGAGGGGAGCGGCAGGTGGGCGTTCCGGGCTCTCTACAGGAGGAAGGAGATTGTTTACGTCGAACTACTTATATACCACTGGTGCGGTCTCTTTTTTGCCTTTCTGTTCTCCTAGACTCGGGTCGTAAAAGAATCCTATCACAATAGCGTCTATCTAATACATGTTATGTACACAAACAAACCAAAAAAAGAGTTCACCCCCCGGTGCTGAACTGGGGGCTACATCTCTTGGTGCTCATGCTGGGATTCGAATTCGGGTACTCTTGTATGCGCTGAGCCTGTCGTCGAGTAGGCTGGTTAGCGTAGATAATTGATGTCGACCATTAACCACTCCACCACCCAGCCAGTTTGACCTGACCCGTCGCCCTAGACGGGCGCCTGCTGGCTGGTGACTGGAATGGAGTTTGGGGGACCTATATAGGCATGTTGTCGTGATCGGATGAAAAGGCTTCCTCAAGCCTGAGGTTTCCATGGATAGGTCAAGTGTGTGGTGCCTGATTCATCAGACGGGAGATGGGTAGGACAGGTTACATCACGAGGCCGAGGTCGACGAGCCCGCCTGATTGCAGAACTTCTTAGATGCCTCGAACAGACTGTACATAGATCCCAGGGCCATGGAATAAGGCATTGTGGCTAGATTGCCTCTTAGCTATTGTTCCGGGCTTATAATTGGATTTTACACGCCAAGCATCCAGTCGCTCATAAGGTAATAAGATACATATTAATACACAATCCAGACATCGAACCCAGTCCAGTCCTCTTACTCGCTCTCATCGTCAGTCTCGACCTTCTTCTTCCTACCCTTCCCAGCCGCCGCGCCCTTCTTCGCGGCCCCCTTGGCCCCTTTGGTCCCCTTCTTGGCATCCTTTTCAGCCTTGCGGTCGACCTGATCCTGTATCTTGTCCCTTTCGCCTGCGCCCCTCTTCTGCAGCTCCACCTCGAGCGCCTTGAACTCGTCGCTCTCGGCGTCCATGCCGATCATGCTCTCCAGGAGCTTGATCTCGTCCGCCCAGACCTTCTTGTCCTCGACGGTCTTACCGTTTGCGTCCTTGCGGTCGATGGGCGTCTCAAGGACCATGGGGAGATTCTGGAAGGGCTCGTGGTTGACGAGGCTGTGAAAGGCGCGGAGACCGAGGAAGCCTGTGCCGATGTTGGCGTGGAGGTCGCGGTGGGAGGCGAAGGGTGCCTTGCTGTCGTTGACTTTGTGGTGTCAGTAATGACGTTCTTACAGTACCGAGTGATCTGGACCAGGGTAGTTGAGACTTACGGTGGAACGCCTTGAGGTACTTATTACCAACGACTTCGTCAAACTCCTTCATCGTCTCATGGAACTTTTCCGGCGTCCGCAGGTCGTATCCTGCCGCAAAGGCATGGCAAGTGTCAATGCACACACCGACTCGCTCCTTGTCCTCGACCTTGTCAATGATTTGCCTCAAGTCCTCAAACTTTGTACCAATGACATTGCCAGTGCCTGCCATGTTCTCCAACACTGTAATCACTTTCTTCGTCGCCTTGTGCGCGGTGTTGAGCTGCGCCGCGATGCGCCCGCACGCCTCCTCGCGAGCCTCCCCTCCAGTGTTGCCCGGGTGGAAGTTGTACAGCTTTATGCCCAACTGCTCGCACCGCTGAAGGTCATCTATGAAGCTCGTGTATGCCTGCTTCGCCTTATCGGCATCCGCTTGGGCGAGGTTGACGAGGTATGAGCCGTGGGGAAGGATGTGTGCGGCGGCATCGTAATTATTTTCCTTTGCGAGGGATACAAATTGGTCTCTGGCATCGGCTGCCAGGGGAGGACTCTCCCACTTCCTTTGCGACTTGAGGAAGAGGGCAAAAGCATTGGCACCGATATTGACGGCATTCTGGATCGAGTTTTGCACACCTGTGGTAAAACTATCAGCGCAAAGGATTGAGGATAAGGAGGCGTCGCGAATACTGACCGCCAGCGCCGCTGACGTGGGCACCAATGTACATCGCTCTCTTCAGCGAAGACACTGCTGTCCTGTCTGTCAATGGCATATCGTCCTCCTTCTTCGCCTTGCCCTTCGCTACTGTGGTCTTTCTCTTTTTCGCGGGCTTCTCTTCCTCTTCTTCAGCGCAGCTTCCGCAGGCCTCGTGTTCGTCTTCTGAGGACACCTTGCGCTTTGCTGGTGCTTTCTTGGCGGCGGCTACGGTTTTCGTCTTCGTTGCAGCGACTGTTGTGGTCTTAGCGCCGTTCGTCTTCGTGGTGGTCGTCTCTTCGACCTTGGTCTCGACGACTGCTTGCGCCTTTCTGCGTGCAGAGGTGCGGGGAGGCATTTTTTTGGTTTCTCTTCTTCTCAATTCGCGCTGAGGTGAATGATCTTCGCAACAAGATGTCTAGAAGGACCAATTCTCGAGAGATTGAAAGAAAGAGGGGCAGATGGAGAAGTAGGAATCGGGTCTTCCAAAAAAGCAAAGACTCGTCGTCGGCGGGCCAGTGATTGGCACGCGTCGAGATCCGCGTCATACATGCGCGATGTCAGGTGACTTTGATGAGCAATTAAGTAGGTAACAAGGTAATGCAGCTGTACGGGTAGAGTCTGTGCTCGACCTGGCTGCTGTTCTCTGTACTCGACGCTTTGCCTTACTTGAATGAAATCTCCCAGTTTGACCGAGGTCATCCACGAACATTTCCATCGTCCCAGTATATTAAATTAGAACCAGTATGAATTTAATCAGACTTTCAATTGAATACCGTAGTGTTTGCTAAAACTGCACCTAGCCATTCCGATGTTTAGTGTACTTTGCTTACCCCTTTTCAACCCGAATACCCTCCAGGCGCCAAATTCAACCGCCGCTACCGTATTTTGACGTGAGTAAGACAAGAACGGAGTACCAAACTCATAGAAAAGTTGCAAGAAAAAGGATATACTGCTGCTCGCAGCTGTGCTATGCTACTTCAAGCAATGAACTGAAGCTCGGCCTTGCGCTCAGGTACGAACTGGTCTTTGTAAGTATCCCAAATCTTCTGAAGTTCGGTCATGTACAGGTCATGCAGCCGGTCAATATCTTCCTGGGTAGGCTGTGCTGTGGGTGACGTGGTGACCTTGATAGGCTTGCCAACCACAATGTTGAGCGGTCTGCGGTACGGCATCATACCAACATCGTAGTTAAGAATTCCCCGACCATGAAGAGCAGGGAGAGTAAACTTAAAGACGCGAAGCACAAACATCTGGAAGTTGTGCACCCAAGGATGGGTTTTCGGGCTGAGTTGGTCGTAGAGGTCATTCTCGCCAAAACCCAGGACGGGCACGAGGTCAGCTCCGGTCCGCAGCGCCATTTTGATAAAGCCCTTACGTCCCTTCAGGATCAGTCTGAGAGTCCCGGGCTGAGCCTCGAGTGACTCCCTGGCACCACCCACAACAATGGTGACTGCACGTCCCATTCCCTCGCCATTGGCGCCGCCCTTGCTCAACGTGTTCCAGATCGACTCCTTAGACACAGATCGAACGCCCATGAACAGGATGTAGTCGCGGTAAAAGGGGATTCGGAAGTTGTTGTCGAGTGTCAACAATGAGTTGGTGATCCCGGGGAACTTCTGGGCGAATCCGAGGGCATTGGTTGCAAATGCCGCGAAAGCACCGTGTGAGATGATTCCATGAGGGTGGTAGCCGAAAATGTACTTCCTTGTCGGTGGAAGATCGTGAGTCTTGTGGAGCTCAGCAGGATAGTAATCAGCGAAGAATTTCCAAATGGGAAGCGATCGTAGCCATTCCGACCGTAGCTTCAAGTTGCCATTGGAGGCAACGCCAGAGAGTGACAGGTGAATGAGGTAAGGGACCAAGAGTGGCCAGGTAAAAGGGATTGCCGCAAGGAAAAAGAAGATTGAGACGAAGGTCAGAATGGATAGGCCGTGAAACAGAACGGCTCCGGTCTGGAGACGGCGCTGAAAGGGGACCTGAAGAGGTGCGAAGCGGATGCCTGCAGCCTTCAATCCGAAGCGATGGCTGTTCCTTCGGCCTTGTGCTGCGAGAGTGAGGCGTGGGTAGTTGTCGTCGCTCATTCCCTTAATGCTTGTTGACTCTGATCTGTCAACATCAAATCCATCGACGAGAGTCTCATCGGCGGTGCCCTCGCTACCAAAGCTCTTTTCAGGGTCAATAGCATTGCCATTGCTGTCGTTCTCCTCGGCCTTACTGCCGTTGCTTCTCGCCGAGGATGGGGATCGTCGATGGCCTCTGCTTGGGCTTTTCGGGGAATCGTCTAGGCCCTGTTGGAGAGAGCATGATCAATAAGATGGCACAGCAGCTTATTCAATCCATTTTGACTTACAGTGGCGCTGTACTCGTGACTGGACTCCTTTCTCTCAGCGACAGGTCTCTCGGTATCATCAGGAGCCTGCTTGTCGTTGGTTGAGGACACTGGTGGCCCAAGCTCTGGAGCTTCTGCTACAACGTTAATCTTGCTGTTCCCAGACTCAGCTGCCTGCGACGCGAGCTGAGGGTTGCTGAATTTCTTGACAGGTTGCCTCTTGGTTGGCGACTTGGAACGAGCTGCGGAACCCTTCTTGCGAGGCATGATGGCGGATGTTGAATGATGGCGGCTCGTCTGTCGATATCGGCAACCCAGGTCCAGCTCTCGGTGGGAACGTGTACAAAGAGAAGATGCGGAGACCAAAGGCGTTTATAAAGCAGGTTGTCTCTTACCTGAAATGACAGCCACCTTGGTCCCGTCCCCAAAGTTAGACATGGTTGCGTCGGCGTCGGATGGCGGCAGGGCCGGACCTCGGACAGGCGTGCGGCGTGGGCGTAGGCTGGGAGCTCGGAGGAGACCTCCTTTGCTAATCGTAGACCCACGGCTTGATTCAGTAAGGGCGGTGGTTTGAGCAGAGATGATCGGAAACTTTTTGGCGCACAGGGTCCGAAGTCTATGAGGGAGCGGGCGAAGGAATGCACAAAGGGAGAGCGGAAAGGTTGTTTGGTGGCAGCTAGCCTGATGTTGCGAAACGAGGGCAGGTTGGGTGCATTACGCTGGGTGCGGATGAGAGAGAGGGACGTGGGTGTGCGTGGGAGCATCAGCAGCTAGCACCCCGGAGCTGCCGCCAATGACGATGACGTTACGGATTGGATCCCGTCCGCATACCGGCAAGCGGCTGCAGTCTACGACAGCCCCCCTGAGCACAGAAGAAGCTGTCTTTTGTGCATAAATTGTGCATAAACATACATAATATGCGAGATATGCACAACCCACGATATGTCGATAAGCACCCTGGTCAGGCTCCATCCCTTCTTCTCATCACCACCCAATCCCTAATTTGCATGTGATTATCAAGCTTTAAGAATGGCCTTATTCTTCTTACGAGAATCGGATCCCGATTGACTGGCGCGGTTTCCATTCAATTCATGAGAGTTGGAGGCCGTCATAGAAACGATTCACCTTTCACGGAAGATACAACAAGGCTTCATGGGCTTGCATTAGATGCTCGGAAACGATCGACGCGACTGTCTCGAACATAGCGTCGTTGAGCTGTTGGTCTGAGACTTGCCTACCTAACTAAGACAAAGCTATGGGATAAGGAAGCACGGAAGGAAGCAAACGCGACGAGGTACCTCGCATGCTCACGGACGCCTCCCTGGGACCTTGGCCAGAGCTCCTTTGCCATCCTCAACACTGGCGAAAAGCCTCAGTGGGGCTGGACCAGCCCAAACATGTGAAAATCACCAGCTGTCAATGCCATCTTGAAGGGCAGAGACTCCAAAGAGACAGCGACCAGTCAGCTTCCGGCCCGTGCCAAGTCAATTGTCGAGGGATCGGGTGAACGGCAGGGGAAGCACGCGACATTTAAACCTACGACTGAGCCGGCAACGTGCATGCCGCATCAAGATTCAACATGCATGGATCGGTCTTCTGTTGTAAGAGAATCATTGTGAATGATCAATTGACCTCATGGCGTCGAACCCGGACCTGTGGCTTCGATTACTTGCAGGCTCGATATATCAATCCGCACTGTTCATTGCGCCCAAAATGCGCAAAGGCACAGTAGATGCGGAGAGATGATGACTGTATCGACCAATGCAAATTGCCCCTCCATGACTGGACTCAAATTTTCCCCAAGGAAGTGAACCCCACCATCATCATCCCACCATTCACCCCGCCGACGTCACAAACATCAATATCTGAACTGATCTGTCCGCACGTCTCACGGCCCTCTACCCAAGTCTTTCACAATGGCCAAGGCTAAGAAGGGGAAAAGTGACGAGAAGGCAGCTAAGCTAGTACGTGTTCCACTGCCTCGTCTTCAAGGGCTCCCAAGAGCAAGCAGAGACACTGTGCCTAACTTTGATATGGAGTAGGCTGCAAAGAAGCAGAAGCAGGCCAACAAGGGCGAGAAGAAGGCAAAGACCAAGACTGCAAAACTTGAGGGGAGCGATGCCGAGGATGTTGACCTCGAGCAAGTGCTTGAGGAGTACAAGAAGCAGCAGGAGCAATTCCTCAAAGTCACGGAGACCGTGTGCGAGGGACCTCCCAAGGCCCGTTCTGCTTCCACCATTATGGCCTCGCCCTGTGACAGCAACAACTTGCTGCTCTTTGGTGGCGAGTACTTCAATGGCTCGCTCGCTCACTTTTTCAACGACCTGCACATCTACTACATCAACCGTGATGAGTGGAGGTGCGTGACGTCCCCGAACGCACCCTTGCCGCGCTCTGGACACGCGTGGACGAGGGCCTCAAACCCCAATCATGTCTACTTGTTCGGCGGAGAGTTCTCGTCGCCAAAGCAAGGAACGTTCCATCACTACTCAGACTTCTGGCGGTTGGAGCCTGCCACGAGAGAATGGACAAAGATTGAGTGCAAGGGCAAGACGCCCCCCGCCAGGAGTGGTCACCGCATGACATACTGGAAGCAGTTTATCATCTTATTTGGTGGCTTCCAGGATACCTCAAACCAGACCAAGTATCTTGCCGATGTGTGGATCTTTGATACCCAAAACTTCTCCTGGCACAGCCCGACTCTGCCCCCTGCACAGTTGAAGCCTGATGCCCGGTCTTCTTTCACGTTTCTTCCTCACGAGCAAGGTGCTGTTCTCTATGGAGGTTATTCAAGAGTGAAGGCTACCGTAGCGGCCAACAAGCAGGCCAGGGGTTCAAGCCAAGGACAGAAGAACATCTTGAAGCCAATGGTTCACGATGACTGTTTCTTCCTGAGGATGTCTTTGCCGCCTGACGGATCGCCCCCGACAGCGCCTCCAGTCGTTCGCTGGGAACGGCGCAAGAAGCCTGCCAATGCTCCCAGCCCCAAGCGCGCAGGCGCCACCATGGCATGGCACAAGGGTCGTGGAATCCTTTTTGGAGGCGTGCACGATGTTGAGGATAGCGAAGAGGGCATGGACAGCGAGTTCTTCCGAGAGCTTTTTGCGTGGAACATTGAGAGGAACCGCTTCTTCCCGCTTGCCCTTCGCAAGGCCCGTCAGCAAAAGAAGGCCAACCCGTCTGAGCAGCGTGGAGGCCGTCGTGCTCGTGCCCAGGATCGAGAGGAGGAACTCCTTCGTCAGCTGGCTGCCTTGGAGACTGGCAAGTCTTTGGAGGATGCCGACGACATGGAAATTGAGAAGAAGGAGGAGGAGCCCGATGAGGACGCAACCCCTATGAGAGAAATGCCGATCACGATGGAGCTGCCGCACCAACGGTTTAATGCTCAGTTGGCTGTGCAGGATGATGTGCTCTACATCTATGGCGGCACTTTCGAGGCTAAGGACCGCGAGTTCACGTTTGACGACTTGTACGCAGTGGATCTTGGCAAAATGGACGGGTGTAAAGAAATTTTCAACAGGCCTGTCGATGACTGGATCGTAAGTCAGAGAACTTTTGGAGACGGGGTCTTTTCACTAATAGCATTTCAGGAGTCCGAGGACGAAGACGATGATGACGATGAAGATGACGATGAAGATGATGACGATGAGGAGGATGAAGAAGGCGACATCGAGATGGAAGAGGAGGACAAGAAGCCATTCTACACGCCGAGCAAGCGCAAGAAGAAGCAGAGTGATGAGGCCTCTGTTGCCGGTTCCGAAACGACCAACGCAACCTCCTCGACTGCTCCTACGAGCGCGACAGAGGATGACGATACCGAGGCGACCGAAACCGTCGATGACGGTCTCCCGCACCCAAGAGTAAGCCTTACCAGCGCCTATCTTCGGAATTGCAACCATGCTAACTTACACATAACAGCCCTTCGAGACAAGACGTGACTTCTTCGTGCGCACCACGAACGAGTGGCAGGAGATTCTCATGACCAACCTTCGCTGGAAGAACATCCAGCCGGAGACGCTCGCCATCAAGGAGATCAAGGCCAAGGCCTTTGAGCTCAGTGAGGAGAAGTGGTGGGATTGCAGAGAGGAGATCACGGCGTTGGAGGAGGAGCAGGAGGCTGCTGGTATTAGTGAGGTTGTATCTCTTGCGGAGAGAGGCGATGCTGCTGCCGCCGGTGGCGCCAGAAGACGATGATCACTTCAGCAGAAAGATGCAAATAGTATTGGGACATAAAAACGCTGAATATGCCAATTTCTCATGGCAAAAACTTTACCCTAACTTGATCTTGTGTAAATCAGGTAGGCAGCCATCTCTTTGGAGCCTGGAAGGCGGCGAGAAATATGTCACCGAATGCTGGGAAAGTGGGGCACGTGACTGCGCGTCACTCCCGCTCTGCCGTCTTTTGCCCCTCGTCACGTCCTGGTCCAGTCTTAGACGCATCACTTCTTCCCATCGAATATTCCACTCCAGATATCATTGATACCCAGCAAAGACTTGAAACTTTACGGAAAGATTGGTCAAGAAAGCAAACGATTCCACGGCTTTTACCTTTGGCATTTCAGTCCCGAATCCTTGTCAGTGCCAGTATGCCGATCGGCATCCAGCGGCTGAATGCGAAACGTTCGCAACCAAACGACCGGATCATCTTCATCAAGCCTCTGAAAGGCCGCGATGAAAAGATCGCCCAAGATTTTCTCGAAAGGATCGCCGCACAATGTTGTAAGTGGCTCTTCTTGCTATAGAGATGGGTCTGGCTGATCAGATTTAGTACCGATCATGAAAGAGCACCACCTTTCGGTGATGTCTCTAGAGCAGTATGAGTTCAACAGAGAGTTCGTGGGCAGGAATTTCAACGCCGGTGAAATTATTCAACTAGTGCTCAAGTCGCAATCAGGACGATGGCTACCATTTGAGTACGTTCAGATGGTGATGATGCACGAGTAAGTTTGCTGCAGTGTCCCCGATGATCCATAGCTGACGGGACAAAGGCTGGCACACTGCAAGCAAATGAATCATTCTAGAGCATTCTGGGCAGTCAGAAACAATTACGCCGAGCAGATGCGAGGGCTTTGGCAGCGAGGGTACTCTGGCGAAGGCATCTGGGGTCGTGGTGCCCTGCTGGGGACGGGACAATTCCAACACAACGTCGCGCTTCCTTCTGAACCGCTTCCGGAGCACCTGTGTGGCGGCACATATCGCTCCCGTGGACGCAAGAGGAAGATCAAGCCAAAGCTTTCCTACCAGGAGCAAAAGGAGCGCCGAATCCTCAAGAAGTTTGGTGCCAACGGCACCGCTCTGGGCGCTGATGAGGAGACAAAGGTCAAGTTGGAAGGCGGCAAGCGCACGCTAGCGAAACCTCGCGTGGCTGGGAGTGCTCGTGGACGTGAACTGCGAGCCGCGGCGGCGCTCGCACGATTCGACCAGCCGAAAAAGGAGCCCGAAGAAGACATCAAAAACGAGGTTAAGGATGAGGATAGCGGCGAAAGCGAGTACGAGGACGATCCGGCGGATATCAAGAACGAAGACGCTGTCGACATCGATGGTATGGTGATCAAGGACGGCAAAGGCAGGGGCATGATCAAGGTCTGCGAAGACGAGAACTCCGATGACCAGGATGCCCAGAACGAGCTACAAGAGTTACAGGCGTCGGTGAAGCAATGGCGACAGACGCATCTCAAGTTCAAGCGCGAGCCCGTGGACGAAGCTGAAGCTTCAAGTGTGCCGCCGCCGAATCGAGTAGCAGAGTCATCACACAAGGAAGCACCGACGATCCGGAGACCAGAGCAAGAAGTTCCTTCGCGAGTCAAGGTCAAGGAGGAGCCGGATGACGATCAGGAGGCGCCAATTTTAGATATCGCGAGTGCAACCCCCACAATCAAGAGAGAAGCGCGAGACGACCCCCGGTCAATAGCAACCCGTCATCCGATCTCGCCGCCCAGCGCACCATCCGCGGCGTCGCCATCGGCCGAGAGACAGAGGGTGACGGCAACGGCAACGGAGTCAGCGACGATGACAGCGTCAAAGTCTAATAGAGCTGCGGCCGCAGCGACAACGGCCGAAGATGGACGAGAGAGTGAGACCGGGTCCATCTGTGGAGTCTGCTCGTTTGCCAACTCTGCCCTGTCGATAACGTGCGCCGTCTGCTCCCACGTGCTGGACCCGGCAAGCGTACCGAACGCCTGGCGCTGCGAGGGCGCCGCGTGCCAGGAAAGCGAGTATCTTAATCCCGGCGACTTTGGAGTGTGCGGTGTCTGTGGGCAGAGCAAGCGAGAAAAGCAAGGCTGAGTTTGGGTTCACGACATGATAAGGTTAGGAGTGACACAGGACTTTTGCAGTCAAACGAGATGAGTTCGAGATAATGACAAATTGCGGCTATTGCTAATTGACCGTGGTACACCGTATACTCGCAAACAATTAGACAAGAAAAAGTATGTACGGATCTCTTGGGCAGAGAAAAAAGGAAGCAAACAAATCATGACTTTTAATGAGGCGATGAGCGCATATTAATATCGAATCACTATCCGCACCCTCGTCAACTGACTAAGTGACGGGCCGCCGACGATAGACGGCAGGGCTCGTTCCTGGCGGTGCACAGCTTTTTGCGGTTGATTTGTTTCCCAGGAACGGATAGTTATTCTAGGAAACTTTTTCCCTCGCGCATTTCCCCTGCGCAGAAAAAGGGCAAGCGGGATTACACACTCAGCTCGTACGCAATTTACGAAAATGGCTCTTATTCATTTACGACTGATATGTCAAGTTGTCAAGTAAAGTTTTGCTGGTGGGTTCGTCCAAAGAGTCAAGCCACCACGGTCCCATGCTGGCCACGGACAGGCTCAGCATGGGATGGATGCCCCTTTGGCCACAAAGGTCGGGCCAGGGGGGGACAATAAGGACGAAACATGGAGAAAGAGCAGGCCAGGCAAGGCGGACAGCCGATCGATGGGGCCAGGGGGACCTTTTGAAGTGGGCTGTTGATCAGGAACTACGGCTTCATCAATGCTGACTCTACGTACGGACACGAATAACACCTATAGCATTCGTTCAGTGGAAGTTGGCGATTCAAGACAGGTCACGGGATAGCGCGGCGGGTATGTCAGATATCTATCGGCGAATTTAGGCCCGTCGAGCAGAATGCATCGTCGAAATGTCATCATCAGCTCGGGGATCGCCAGAGCCAAGGGAAGACGCGGAGCCTCGCTTACTCGGCATCTGGGAAAAGGACCTGGACTGGAGATTTCGAGGAGTCCGAAGAAGGAAGGACAGAAAAATATGGTTAACGGACCCAAAGTCTGGGCAAACTCGCCAGAGTATCTGATAAACAACGAGATACACAGATGACTGACCAATAGTGCAATAGCATGAAGAACCAAAGACCCAAGACCACTATTCACCTTAGTACCAGCAGTAGCAGCAGCGGGTGCGGTTAGAAATGAATTGCACTCTGTGGCTATTCTCGGGGATCTTCTATATCGCTGCGCATCCTATTGACCGGCAGCAGCTTATCAAGATAGTTGAGGCGAAAAGAGAAGCAAGCAACACCCGACCTCTGGCTGAGCTTAAGCTCCGGCTGGCCTTTTGCGGTGCAAGTGCATGCAAACGCATCATCACCGAACACCCAGCGTCCGTTGCCTTCTCCATCCTGCAGAACTGCAAACAAGCGCTTTTCAAGCTCTCTTTCTGCAGACGGAATCGTTATTCTCAGCCTATCGTCCATCGTTCACCACCAAAGATGCACTCCAGAAAGGGGAGGCGAGTCCGGGGCAACTGCACGACTGTGGTAGGTGGTATTCACAGCCCATCCCCCCCCCCCCGAAAACCCAAAAAAACGCTTTTCCACCTCCTTTTTTCGCAACGGAATGTTTTTTTTCCCCCCTCCCCCCCCCCTTCCCCCCCAAAAAGGCCCCCCCAAAAGGGGGGGGGGGGCCGGGGGAAACCCCCCGCGTGGGGGGGGGGTTTTTACCCCCCCCCCCCCCCCCCCCCCCCCCCCAAAGTCGTGCTAGGCGTGGAGAGACGCGGGAATACCGGGATAGGGGTCCCCACCCGTCGAGTTTCAGAAGGCTTAAAATGGGCACCTATCGCCTAGGCCGAAAAGGACTACCGTTACTCGCGGGTTGCAGCAGTTTGCGAGAGAGTGCTCGAGTACCTACCGACAACCGCTACCGCACGAATGAGCCAAGGCCGCCTGCCGCTTTGGAGGGAAGGGGGGCGTGGCTGGTGGCCTACTTTGAGTGCTGGGCCGCCGCTGGCCCCGTTTCACCTTGCGACTCCGGATGACCGCCGCCGTGTCGATTGGACGGCCAAGTGATCACCGAAACTTGTTCCTTCAAGAGATCCCATCCTTTTGGTTTTTTTCTGCTCTTCAGGGGGGACTTTGACTACCACCTTACCTTCTGCGCTTCTGCATTCTATGCTGCAGGCCAGCGTCCGATCATCCCTTGCGCTGCGTCCATCACCGTCCCATAGTTGGCTGGCAGGGCATGATGGAATGACGATGCTTGGCTTTATCCGATGGAACGCTCCCCTCTCTCACTTTCTCCCGCACTTTGGAGTTGATACCTATGTGGTGTTACCCTTGCAAACTCGCCCAGTATCGAATCTCATGCGCCCAGCGGCGGTCCTAAACAGCGAACCGGCGATCCGAGGGCGGGAACGACGCCCCATGTCCTGGACATCGAGCCACACCATTCTCATGGGAGTAAGAGAGCGCCATAGTAGAGGCCGACTGACTAAGAAATTGCATGGCCAGGAGAGAAGAAAAAGAGGCATTGGTTTCATCCGTTCACACAGCCATTCTGCTCTTGGCAGACTCTAAACACAGGCTTTGCTTTTAGTGACACCTACTCTAATGATACTAAGGTTAGTAGGGTAGAACCCCCTCTTCAGACGACAGCGTCAGGGCCCCCGTCAGCCTTCAGGTACCAGAACGTGTCGGGCTCGAAGCTGTGCTACACCGACCGAGGTCGAGGGAACTCCCACATACAACGTCCGCTTGAGCGAGTCCCGAGTCTCGAGTCTCAACTCTGGTGAGCAAGTATTCAAGCAGGCGGTAAGGCGGACCATATCTGCAAAGGCACAGAAGCGATCCCGGCGCGAGTCTCTTTAGGTAGTGGAAAGTTCCTCCCAGTTTCACCCACCTCACCGGGCCGGCACCAGGCAAGAGGAGAACTTGTGGCTATGGAGAGACGAAAGCACGCAACGCAATCCTCGCAACGCAAGCGACGTACGCAACCGCACAAACGTGACAAACGTCTGGTTCCGCGTCCCGCAGCCGGCGTCCCTTTTCTTCCTGCCTTTCGAAAATGGGAAGGAGAAATCAGGGATCCATATTGAAATGGGGCTCAGAGCTCCATACTGCGTACATCCAGAGGCGGTTACCAAGTTCAAGACCATTCTCTTGCGGATACGGAGTACAGTCAGCCAAGTTTCGCGCCACCCCTCCCCCCTGGACCCTCGCTCTTCATTGCGACATGGGGAAGCCGGCTCTTGGATTTGCAAAAGACTGGGGTCCCAGGGTCCAGGGGGGGTGGTGCAAGTGAAAGTGAGGAAGTTTACAGAAGTAATACCTTGCGGATGCAACCTAGTAATAGCTCACTGCCCAAAGTGCGCGCGGGAGAAGAAGGATTTCTGGGTTGTGAATATGGCGGCTTGCGAAACCTACTTAGTGGCTTGCTCGTCCTCCCTACTCTTTTCCTACTTCTCCTCCTCCTTCAGCTTGAATTGTTCGAAACTTGTTTCTCTTTCCACATTCTTTTCGAAAGAAACAATCCAGACAGTCTGTTGACAGTCACTTTCCTTCTTTTCCTTCAACCTTTGATGATCTGTGATCTGTTCCATTCTTTCTTCCAAGAAGCCCTCTTTGCTCCGTTCTAAACCAAACCTCGTCTCGACGACCAAACACACCAAAACTTACAAACCGAACTCACCCGAGATATCTCACGATCGACTTGCCAATACTACCCCAAAGATCACTCTCAACCTACAACGCATCGATCTACTCATCCCTCAAATAAAACGAACTCTCCGAAACGAAACTCTTCTTCCAGTCATCCCATATCCACGACTGAAAGCGATCCAAACCTCCAAATTTCACTTACACCAAAATCCTCTCTCACTCATCCTATCAAACTACCTACTCGCAACAACCGCAACCATGGTCTCCACGCTCATCCAGACCTTTGTCCTCCTCCTCCTCACAGCCACCGCGGCCCTCGCCGCCCCGGCTGGAAGACACAACTGGCCCCGCTTCACCGTGCCCCAGCAGCACTTTGAGGTCCTCAGCATGCGCATGCAGGAGCCCGTGAACCCGGCCGCCATGGTGGAAGCCACCTGCGTCGACCGCAACGCGTACGTTTCCTTCCAATCTGACTTACACAAGAACCCTCTCCACTACATCCTCTCCTCTCTTCCACCGGAAACACATCAAGCACCTTTCACCCATCAACTTCAAACTACGAAAGAAACTTTTTTGACTAACACCACGCTCAGTCACATCGTCTTCCATGACCAAAATGCGGCAGAACTCGCCATCTGCGGCGGCATCTCGGGCTCCGTCGACGCCTGCCACGGAAACCCCTCCACCACCGTCGGCCAAGCCGGCTCCGCCCGCTTCAGCCTCAAGACTACCGTCGAGGGCGCGCAGATCACCATCTCAAAGACAAAGTGGGAGCAGTGCGTCCGCGCCGCTCGCGACAAGTGCCCAACCGGCAGCCTCCGCGCAGTGTGCGCCGGCGGCGCGACGGTCGGCGACGTGGAGTTTACGCTCAAGAACTCGTTCAGCATGGACGACTTGTGAAAGAAAACTTCGAATGTGCGCTTCAGCTTTTGCGTTGTTCTGGGCGGTGGATGAGGGGATGTTTTGGTCGTGTTTGATGTGTTATCTCTCTCTCTTTTCTCCTTACTTTCTTCTCACAGAGGCTGTTTCTATCAGTTGATATGCCTCGTTTTTTTTTCTTGCTGCGGGCATCTTCTGTGCCGTGGCTTCATGATTTTGATGAAAAGGGTTCTGGGATCGGAGTTTGTCTGCCCTTTTTCAAGGGCAACATCTTCAACCGTATATATACAACGCGCTTGTAAAAAAGCACATTCGCATCTGTACAAATTCCTCACAGGGGACGTTTGTCTTGAATCCAGACCCGTTGGCGATCAAAGTCATCCAATTCAAATCATCTTTTTTCCATCCTTGTAAAACAAACTTGACAAAAGGGGGGTATCATAACGCCTAGCCGTTCACCGTCCATGCTTATCCCATATCCAAAATATAATCGCAATGTGTCAACGACAGCGGCATATGCACCAGCAAGCTTTGCTAAAACAGCCAACAAGTCCTTGATGCTCTCAAATGCCGTACCTCGTAAAACACTCCTCCCGATGCGTCTCAAGACAATCCAAAGCGCAAACCCTCGTCCCGCACTTCATACACTTCACCCGGCCCCAATACCCGCACACCTCGCAGAAACTCCGCTCGGGATACCGCGTATCGTCGTCGCCCCACTCGGCCCTCGCGTCCCAGAAACTCAGCATCGGCCGCGAAAGCAGCCACTTGAGCTCCTCGTCCGTCGGCATCGCAGGCACCCGCGACACGAGCAGCGGATCATCGTCGCCAGGATGCGGCGCCGGTCCCGGTTTATCGTAGGGCTTCAGCACCGGGTCTGTCGCCGTCGCCGAGTCCTCTTGCGCTTCTGCTGCCGGCGCGGGCGTCATCTCGACGTCTTCCGGTTCCGCTGGCGTCTTTGGCGTCGATGTCTTGGAGCGCTTGGCGGCGTTGCGCTTGGTGTGCTGGTTCGGATGGGGCGGTTTGTTGGCCGGTTTGGCTGTGTGCTGGTTCGGGTGCGGCGCGGGCGTGTTTCCGGCGTGCGAGAGGAGGGCGAGGTGGTCGTCGCAGTGGTTGTGGAAGGTCTTTTGGGACTGGAGGATTTTGCGAATTGCTGGCGTGCTCTTGTTCTGGCCTGTGATTCCGTTAAATCGTCGTTAGTTTGTCTGTCGCTTTGCGCTTCACTACGCCCGCCCCCTACAGCGTATTGGGAGGCATGGGGAGATGGGGACAGACGTACCTCTCGAGGCCTTGGCCGGGATGGGTATCGAGGCATCACGACCACCGTCGCGGTCCAGCTGCTCGAGTTCCTTGCGGATCTTGGCTTCTTGGCGGACGGTGAGGTCTGAGGCGGTTGGGTTCGCCTTGCTTCGAGCGGCGCGCTTACGGTTCGCGGGCTGGAGGGCGGCGGCGGCCGGGTTAAGGCCTGTATCGGGAACGTAAGCCCATCCCGGGGCGTTTGTGACTTTGCTGCTGGCGAGCTCGTAGACACCAAAATTATTCATTTCGAGGTTGGAGATGTTACGGCAGGGTTTTTGGAGAGGGTGGAGGAGTGTGGTGGTTTGACTTGGAGCTCTCTGGGTTCTGGAGTCTCTGCGCTTGAACTTTTTTTGTAGCGAATCAGAAGAGACGACGTTGAGTGGCTAATTATTGGCCAATGGGAATGTGTTGGTTACAGACGAGCACCTAGCGGAGAGCTTCCCCAGGTTGTAGGTTGAGACCTCGGTAACTAATACATTATTTATATTCAAGCAATTGACACTCAGGTACACAATGAGTAACAAATCAATAATTCGATCAACTTGAAAAGGATTCTAACGCCGTGACAAGTTTTCATACGCTCAGAAGCCGACAAGTGCCGAATGCGCCCATGAGCCGCATTCCCGAACCCCCTTCAGTGGATCATGAAGCCACTCCCCAGAGTCCCAGACAATCCCCAGCAAAAGCCGGCTGGTCGACCGCGCCATTCTGGCCAATAGGATACTCTGAATGGCGTCCCGGCTAATCCCGCCCTCTGTGCTCTCGCTGGTCCGGCGCAGGCGGAGGCGGTACCTGACTGAAGTACCTTACTGCAGTCGTGCAGCGCCGCAGCGCCGCCGTAGAGAGGTAAACGACGTAACACGGCTGGGACAGAGCTTCCACGTTCCCGCCCAAGTTAACCGCACCTCGCCCCCAGAGCACCGACCCGACCGACCTCATCGAACCTGGTCTACGCCATCTCCAAACCCCATATCTTCTACCACCACCACCACAAAACACAACATCACCAACGCGCAAGCCGACCGAGTTCCCTCCCCTCCTCATTTCCACACTCCGCGTCCAATTCCGACCGGGTCGCCTTCCATTCCTCCCGCCGACAGAGCAACCATCCTCCCTCTTTAACCGAGCTCCACGCACGACATCACCCGAAAACCACAATGGCCTCCCGCATCGTCACCCGCGCCCTCCCCCGCGCCTCCGGCCTCCCTCTCCGCGCCGCCCGCAACTTCCAGACCTCATCTCCCCTGCGCGACGCCGTCGCCGCGCCCCTGCCGGCCCGGAAACCCGTCGGTGCTTTCCGTGGAGGGTATGTCTTGAGCTTCTCTGCTCCGGAGGCAGCTGTCCTGCATCTCGTCCACGAGGCCAATTAGGTCTCGTGAGGGTTTTAGGATGCCGGCCACCACTTCATGACCATATGGAGAGAGATGATGATGTCTTTGCTAACGAATCAAACCTCAAATAGTCTGTTCGGTTTCTTCCTCGGCAGCTCCCTCGCCGGCGCCGGTGTCTACTCCTACATCCTCCAAGAATACAAGACCTCCAACGAGCTCCTGACAGAGGACATTTACGTGCGTCATTACATCTCACTATCTACCTTCTTGCCTACCCCTCGAGGCTTTTCGCATCAATCAACCTGTCCTCTCCTACATCCTTAGCAGTGCTGGTTGTGGCGTCATTGACCGTCTTGTGCGCTGCACCGGAACGCTCCCCGGTGTAGTCTCGCTACAACGCGGCGCGACCATCCTCGCTTCTCCTGCTCTCTCAATGTCCCAACAATGCCAATCGTCGCTGCTGCAGACCCTACATGATTCCACAATCAATGAGCTAACCAGACTGGATTACTTCAGGCACTCCAGGCCGCCGTCCAGCGCGTGACCAAGTACGTCGAGGTATTGGAAGAGAAGATGGACGCCATCGAGCGCAAGAGGAAGTAAACGAGATATCGCAGCGTTAAAAAGGGGGACAAGGAGGATGTGAGTGTAACGAGGACGCGAGATGTCGAGGGGGACGCCGTGGTAATGGAACGGTGAGGTTTTTCGAGGCGAAGTCAGCACAAAAAAAGCAGCACAGCACAATGGTCACGACCGGAATATTCCAAACAACGTCCGATTTCTTACTCTTTCCTGCGTGAGGTTCCTTCGATTCAGTGGTATGGTTTACGAAACATGCCGTGGAGATCGAGGTCGAGGAGCTCGTGTATATCAAAGACTGTAACAATATGCTTGTAAGGCGTGGGAGTTTCTGCAAGTACGTGTCTAAACGTGTCCCCTGAGAGTGACTTCTCTTTACAGTCGGGTAGTGTTCACCAAGCCGCTCGCTCAAGCTCAAGGCACAATCGAGACAGCCACCCGAGCTGACGGCAGCCGAGAATCTGAGAATGGCCATGTCAAGGAGCGACCTTTCCATGATGTTAAGAGCTCATCTCGACTTCAAGTCTACCGCCTTCGGATATAAGGCTCTGGCCCAGTGTGTTCAGATGCCCTCCCTCAAATAAATACGATGAGCAATTGTCTTCCATTCTTCCTTCTTCTTTGAAATCGATCTTGATGTTCCAACAATGACGAACAGCATTGAACACTCACCCTGCCATCTCTCATTGAACTTGCGCCATTCGAATGTTGATGTGGATTGGTATTCGTGAGTAACCCGACACTTGAACGTGACGGGCTGGCGCAGCTTGAAGCATAAGACCTCTAGTTCCACTCCTTTCTGCCCTGCTCTCTCGTATCCATATCTTGACTTTCACATTGTCTGGGTTTCACATGGAAAAATTGGCGAAGCGAATACGACTTGAAGCACCTTAATGAAAGCTCACGCAGAGAATACCTGATAATCTAATTTACCGTATCCCTCTGCCTCACTCTATGATCTCGAGTACGTACGTCCGCAGCAAACCAAGAGGATGGTAACGAGTGTGATTGACTGCTCTAAACTTGTAAGCATACCAGACTTAAAAGCTAAGAGGGTAAGAAAAGCTTCCTGTGTGGCCCCGAATCATCTAAACGCAGATATACAGAGAGCATATGCGCATCACAATAAGATACTTGCAGGCTAACACATCGATTCAATGAGCTACAGATTGACGTTATGAAACGACCAGAGTGTGTGTACGACACCTCAAGAGCCGCTACCGCTTCGCATCCAGAACATATGGCTCCAACGTGGCTCGTCTTCAAGAAAGGCAAAAAGGCGTAGCGAAAACGCTACTACAACCCTCCAAGGCACACATCCTTTCCCTTCTTCCCGAAGCTTCTATAATGCTTCGCCACGATCAGCACAAAAGACCGGCATACGGAGAACCTCTGGTAGTAGTATGTTCACTACGGCTCAAAGTCTCCATTTCGCACAACCTAACTCCTGTCAATCTATGGCCGATACCACGCCTCAACACACTGCCGAGCAAAGGGCGAGGAAGCTCGGTGGAGCGAGTGACTTTTCGCTGGAAATTTGAACCATTGCCTCTAGGTGACGGCTATCACCTCAATTGTCAAGGGATATCAATCTTACTGCAGCCATTGATAAGGCAAATCTTCCAGAAGGGGACTTCTGTGTGTAATGAACGAGAACGATCGAGTCTTGCTGGAATGAGACATTCCTGTGAAGGCCAAGGGCAAAATAGTATCGGAAGTTGCGGCGTAAAAGAAGGCTATGCTGAGGAGCCTGTAAACCAGGACATCCAGGGAGTAGGGCGGAATTCTTGATATGAATACTACCTTTTAGCCATTGTAAGGTCGGTGTAATGCGCGCCTCACGGTCCTTAGGTCGTGTTGCTCTGTGGTTCCCCAGGCCAAGTCAGCAGACAATAGATTAATTCATGGAACCGTCAAAAGCCAAGTAGAGTCACCAAGGCTTCAGGTCACGATTCACGCAGTGGAAATAAGAAGTTTAGACATGTGCTCGAATTTCATAACGTTAATTTACCCGCAGACCATAATGCAAAGAGTCGACCTAACGCGCAAGAGGTATATAGTCCCTATCCCATGGGACGTCCCAAAGTGTCATTTCATAGTGAACCCAGAATTCTTTTACAACTCGTCGTGAGCATCCTCCTTGGCCTTCTCGGTCTCCTTGGCCTTCTCAGCCTCCTTCTCGGTGGCAGCAGGGGCGGCCTGGCTCTCCTCGGCGCCCTCCTCCTTGACGGAGACCTCGGCCTTGTACTTGCCGTTCTCCTTGACGAACTCGATCAGGTCCTCAATGGAGCGGGAGCCGGAGTAGGTGACGGCAGCATCCTTGTTGCCTGCGGGGTAGAGCTTGATGGTGGGGAAGCCCTGGATCTCATCGGGAACGTCGTTGGCAGTAGCGTCAACCTTGGCGATGACGACCTTGTCCTTGAACTCAGACTTCTGGTACAGCTCACCAAGCTCCTCGTACTTGGGGGCCAGAGCCTTGCAGTGACCACACCAGGGGGCGTAGAACTCAATCAGGACATCCTTCTTGTCATCAAGGACAACCTGCTCGTAGTTCTTGGCGACAACGACAGTGACGGGGCCGTCGTTGGACTCAGGGATGGGCTCGGACTTGATGCTGGGCTCCATCTTGCCGGAAGAGAACTCCTCAACGAACTTGGCGATCTCATCGTGAGTGATCTTCTTCTCCTGATCAAAGGGGAACTTCTGGTTCTTGACGGTCTCCTGGATGGCGAAAGAGGGGAACTTGTCGGTGGCGAGGTTGAGGTTGCCGGCGTGAGCACCGAACGCCTTGGCGTCGATGGTAGCGAAGTTGATCTTGCCGCGGTACTTCTCAGCGATGGGCTTCAGGGCAGCGCCAAGCTCCTCACGCTCCTCGGGGGTCTCGGCGAAGATGTAGGCGAGGGGAAGGCCAGCGGACATGTAGCCGGAGTAGGTCTCGGGGCCGACCTCACCGATCAAGGGAGTGGCGGCGGTCTGGGCAAAGGTCTCAATGGCCTCAGCGTCGAACTTCTCAGTGAAGGTGGCCTTGCCCTCATCGAAAGACTTGTAGAGGACGATGGCAGGGGCCTTGATGCCCTCAGCCTCAGCAACAGCGGCGTCGTTGACACCACCAAAGAGGTAGGTGTCGCGGAGCTTCTCGGCGACCTTGGTGAAGGTCTCGTTGGAGGCCTTGTCAGCGGCGTCGATGTAGGCGACGAGAACGACCTTGTCGGCGGTCTTGAACTCCTCAAGGGTGTCCTTGGTGAGGATGGAGACGGCGGGCAGGGACTGCTTCACCATGTAGGAGGTGATGGCAGCAGCCTTGCGCTGGCCAGAGTAGGGAGATACGTTGTCGGGGCCGCGGAAGACCTTGAGGGTGGGGTAGCCCTCAACGCCGTACTCCTGGCAGAGATCGGACTCCTCAGTGCAGTCGACCTTGACGAGCTTGATGTTCTTCTCCTTAAGGGAGGTGGCAGCCTCCTCGTACTCGGGAGCGAGAGCCTTGCAGTGACCGCACCAGGGAGCGAAGACTGGACGTCCACGATCAGTATTTATTCGACTCGAGGGTAGCTAGGCAATTTGGGGGGGGACTCACACTCAGCGAGGACGAGGTCGTTGGTCTTGATGAAGTCGGCGAAGTCATCCTTCTTCAACTGGGCAACATCGGAGGCGGAAACCGCAGCAGCGGCGGCCAAAAGGCCAAGGGCAACACGCTTGCAGAACATCTTGATCTTGCGAGTAGGAGAAATGTTAGCTTTGGTACGAGCGATTGGTGATGCTATTGCGGAGAGTCTTGATGGTGGACGAATCGTAGAAAGAAGGATTGGGGCCTCTGTCCAGCTTCGAAGAGGCAGAGCTGTGTAGATTTTGCGGTGTTGGCGACCGTCTGTTGCTACCTCATGCGCTCGATGAAGCTTGGTGATAGCTTGGGGAGTGAGTAGAATGTTGAGAGGAAGCTTACCTTTCTTTGATCTGAAGAATGAACAGTGAAGAAAGAAAGAAAAAAGTACACTCGTGGAGAAGGCGAGGCTGTCAAGTCTAACTTCAGACCGGAGTGAATGGGGAAGGCTTTGGTCTTAAGTAGAGGGTGGAAGAGGTTCTGGAGAAAGATTCCGGATTTCTAAAGGGCAATTGAGAACAGGTGTCCCTTTTTCCAGGAACCGCCCGTCAGCTCATGCATTCACTCAGGCGGCTGCAGTGTCTGTGGTGGATGAGTGGATGGGGGAACGCCCCTCTCCTCTTTTTGGGCTAAGTTCCTGTAAGTCTTTTCAACCGTAATCATGCCGGAGAAGTACATTAGCCGGCCAAGAGTATACTTACCCCAATCCACAGGCGAGCCCGTGCCTCCTAAGGTACCTTGCGGTTGTGAGGGGCAAACTCGCTTTCACTCCCCTCCCTTCCAGGCACTCCCCCCACCGTTCGACCGCTAGGAACACCAACTTACGGTGAATTGATAATCAAGCCAGGCTGACCAGCGGCGGTTTGAAGGTGAAGCTGAGCTAAGGTAGGAACGGCTATCCTTTTTGCCGTGGAGAGTACCCGTAAGCTCAGTTTGCCATCGTTATGTACCTGGGCCTTCTACATTGGCATTACGCTTATTTCTGCCTACACCAAAGTCCCCTCTCAAGTCTCCGCCAGTGCATGAAGAAGTTGCTAGAGCTCCACGATCCGATTGTCAGCAGTCTTCCGAGGCTGAGAGCCTCAAGGACGTAAAAAGAAGCCGGGGGGCAAATGCGCTCGGAGGCCATTGTCTATGACAGCCCCCCTTTCCTTGCGTTCCACCTTATGCCTGGGCGGGTCTGAGACAGATAGGACATCGTTGATGGAGGAATGGCTTTCAACATGGCACAAGCACTGGCGATGGCACAGGCACCATGGACCTTGAGGCAGGCCAGACACGTCTTCTCTACAACCTCCATCCCATGTCCTCCCAGTTCCAGCCCGGACCAGCTCAGTGCGCGCCAGGCTCGGGTTGGTTCAATTGCGACGGAAGTATGTGGTGGTGGTGGTGGTCTCATTCCTTTCCCGTTTGTGTCTCTTGATCGTTCCTCTATGGCGAAAGGAATGCAACGCAGACACAGCCAACAATGGGGTCCGTATGTCTTGGAGGGCGGCAAGGTTTCCTAACGTCCCAAAGGACACATTTCCACGTTTTGCCGTGTACAAGTTACAACAAGCTCTTCGGTGTATTTGGGGTTGCAAGCTTGTCCGTTCCAGCACAAGGATCACCCTCTTGCCATTGGATCTGGTCGTGGGATTCTAACGTCTCCACCACCCGCCAAGCTGCCCTGCCGGCTCGAGATCCATCAGCAATGCTACCGTGGAGCGGATCACTAAACCAGATCTGGCCAGTTTCGGCAGCTTCTTATTTGGTGCTTCGACTCGCAGTCCGACAAAAGAGTGGAGGTGGCTGCTGCGAGAAGCTCCAGCCACCCATTATTGCTCACGACACACGCTGCTCTACTGGATACCGTGGTCAAACCTCCCAGCCTCATTTCCAGGGTCCAACATGGAAATTATCGACGCAAACCATAATCGCACCTGCGATGCTGCATCTGGACTTGCTGTGGGGTTTGAGTTAGGCGTTGCCGGCAACCACGGCAACACTTTTTTAAGCAACGGCATATCTATTCAGAAGAAAAGATAGGCACTTGGAAGCCCATGAACTCGAACAGGAACACTCACATCGGCAAACGCATTTCGTTATTTCGCCTCTACGGAAGAACTCCCAGAATGCTACTCCGTCCTGCCCCTTTGCTTCGCTGCCTACAAAGTGGAACCGTGTCCCGAACAACGCAGCGGCTGACATGCTCCGTGTCGCCCCAAACTCTCCATCTCATCTTTGCCTCCGACCCGGCCGCTCCGCCGCGAGTGGGGTTTTGTCGAAGAAGCTTTAAGAATCCGTCTCATGGTTTGTGCTAAGTAAATGGTTAGACAAGACACATGCTGGCTGGAGCGCCGTCGTCGGCATCGTATTCCAATTTCCGTATATTGTCTCGCGAACTATTTGTCGCGTCACTGATTCGTTCAACGATCAATGAGGCTGAAAAGCGAAAAGGACAGATGTCATTCATCTACCTTACCCAGCAAAGAACATGAGCATAGTGTTCTATTCGCATCGGTCTGTCGAATTTCGCCCAGGAAATTACTCACCACATGAACCTACTGATCCTCAAGATGATTACCTGAACAGGCAAGTGCCACTACAGGGCAAGCCTACCTTAATCAAGTCATCGTGCCCTCAAAATTGCCAGGTTCAGCGACTCAACTGTTCATCACCCCTTCGATTTTCATGAGTTTAGATGCGTACAATCTACAAATAGACAGTCCAAAGCCTGTATGGTCGTTTCTCTGTCGTCCTCAGGCCTGGAAACTTCATCTACGCAGTACACATTGTGCACGGATGGCACATGACGATGAATGTCTAATGTAAGCTTCTAGGTTTAGTTCTGTCTTCTTACTTTTGCCGGCCTCAACTAGAAGGTAGGTTTGCTTGCAGGACTGGCAAGAGAAGGTCTATGGTTCCAGATGGACTCGAATAGCAGGCTGAATCGCCTTCCCTTTCAACATCTCATCTCGCTAGCCACGATCATGTCTAAATTTGAGCCGAATCCTCTGAGAACGCGACTTTTCACGTTGCAGTTTTAAGCAAAGGCCTTCTCCTCCTCCATACAAATAAGACTGGGAAGGAGGCTCCCTATAAGACAAGATGAGGGACGTACTTGGAGGAGTGCCTCCCTTGTGGGTTCAAATCATCGCGAGGTAGGTGCTCTCTTGCGATGGCGAACCAGATGAGCATACCTGCGTTGACGGCATCGTCGTCCCTTCCTATTTTGACTTCGCAAAGGAGTCAAGGTCAACTGACGTCCACTCCGCTGCCGACTCTGCCAAAAATGTTTGCTCGACACAATGCCCAAACATGCCAGCCTACCGGCCTCAACATAGCTTCATGTCGACTCTTTAGGATCTCTCTTTCAGTGACCGACGATTTTGCTGTGTCTGTTAAGTAGAGATACTTCATTTTACCATCTACCCGTGCCACGACCTGGTCAAAGTCTCTCCGAATGGAGAATATTCACGCTCAACGTCGCTCCGCCAGCCATGGCTCGCTTCGCAACAGCTACAAGTCCCATGCTCGACCACCCATTGGATATGGTCTGCCGCGTCGACCGTTGAGAAGCGTAAACGAGAATGCTAGTTTACTTCCGTCGCCCGGTCCTCTTGAGAGCATGCTCAAGACCACAACGGAAACAGGCGACATAGGCATCTTCAGCATCAAGCCAATAGCTCCAGCGGCTACAACACACCAATGCGCAAGATCACGGACCGGACTCGATGTTAACACAATCTTCAGATCTGAGTCTCGTGCCAGCCATCGTACCATCTCTGGAGCCGGCCGCCGATGGAACAGCTCGGACAGAGACACCAATTCAGAAATCATCTCCATGTATGGCTCAGAAGGCCCTCCGTCCTCCTTCTCCAGCTCATTTTCCCCCAAAATCGATGGGCCGTACCAGCGTTCGTACTCCCTGACCACATGTGGTTCTCGGAAATTGTCCAGTAACAAGTCATCTGGTACTCTCCAAAGCCATTCGAGCAGCGGCATCTTGCAACGACCACGCTCCCCGTTTCCCTACCCAACTCGACTGAAACGCCCTGGAGTTCGGCCATCTTCGCCGGCTCTTACGGAGAATGGACTTGTTGACTACAGTAGGATGGTCGAAATAGATCGAATCTCATATGTAAGCACTCATGGCCCTCCGCAAAGCGTAGTGTAACAGGAGCTCATTATTTATCAGAGGACTGTGCATGGCTCGTATAAGCCAACCTTTCCACAACCGCAACGATTTGGCCCTCCCGATGCGTTTCGCGGCGGCATCAACCAATCCATGCCGTCTCTACCGCATTCCATCTCTTTCGTGTCGCCCACTGGATCCGCTCTTGGGTATCGTGGGTACCATAACCCGCGGGGTAACGAGCTTGCGAGCAGACCACGACGACCATCCACGGATCATAGTGCGAGATCCTCAAGCCTGACTTCGGTCATTGAGATGTACTACAGATCACCCTCAAACTCGGAACCCAATCTGTCCCGCACAATTCGCCCCGCAGGATCTTTCTACTACGACTACACCGAAGCTTTTGAAACCCCGGAACGCCAAACAGATCCTCGGGATTCTACCTTGGCGCTGCCTTTAGCTCCGATTCCTCAGCGAGCATCGAGCCTTATCAGAGCCTTAGTGCTTCGAGACGAAACGAAGGCTCGTCTGGATGCTGTCATCGACATATCTGTGAAGGACTCTAGCGATTCGTCCGGTGATGACTGTCGAGCCTTGGACAAGAAACCTGCCAATGACATCGAAACGTTACCTTCACAGCGCTTGAGCTCTAGAACCGCCCCTCCGACGCTGGAACAATTTCCGTTCGAAGTTGATGGGACATCGGCTTCTCGTCCTGTCGACGTTGATAACGATTTGAACATGTTTGTACCTTGTTCACAGACCGTCGATACTGCGGCTTTCCAGCGATCTCAAACGACTCCAAAGCCTCAAAACATCGGACGTAACGAAATCGACGATGAAGAAAATGCGGAAGGCTATGCTAATCCGTCTCGAGGCCATGGGCAAGGGAATGAAGGCCACACAACGAAAGCGAACGCTGATGCTTCCCATCCCGCTGTGGAACATGCAACGGAGGCACTGTCTGAATCCCATTTCAAGAGTGCGGACGAAATCATCCCAAACCCCAACGAACCCAGTACGTTGCAACTAGAACTGTTGAATCGAGATTGGCTATCCAGAAGAGCCCCGTCCCACAGTGGCCTCGCGGCGCTTCTCCGCTCGAGTTTACGCCATTCGGTTGAACCTGGCCTATCCGACCTTGCGGCATTGGTCTCGTCATTCGAGCGTATTGCCAAGTCACCGTTCATGAGCAAGGATGAAGACTCGACTGGACTTCACGAGGTCGATGTAGATGAGCCGAAAGATCTCAAAGCTGAAATGGAGCATCATCACCCCCTGGAGGGGGAAAATATGGTGAATGAGTCTGCCGCAAATGGCGCAACCCATCCTGACCTTCAGTGGAGGCCTTTCTTCAGAGGCCATCGCAGAAACCGAGCGCTTGCTCGGATCAGCACAGCAAGTCTCCGAAGTCATACAGCGCCACCAGCCTCCAAAGCGGACAATCTTCTCCTCTCCTCGACGCCAAGTCCTACGAACCGTTTCTTGAGTACAAGCAGCAGTGTCCCGCACTTGATGAAGGCATTGCCCTCCCTCCCCAAGGAAGCGCAAGCTCAACTGAGGCGAGTGTCAGGGGCATCTGGGGACGATTTGCGATTTCCAGTCAAGTTTTCACCCTTTCAGCTCGAAATCCTTGCAACTCCACGGTCGAGTCCTAGAATTACTGCACATTCCGATGTGGAAGACCATGAGTCTTTCCGAGCTAGCATTGAGCTCGAAGTCATTCAACCCAAAAGAGAGCACAAACCGGCGGATCATGATGCACCGAGTCCGAAAATGAAGGTGACTGTGGTTCCAAGCCCATCGAAGCGAAAACTTCGACTCAAAGCGTCTCGACTGGCCTTGGATGTGGAAACAATCCCGGAAGACCAGACCGGCACAGTCAGACGTCGCTCCAGTGTCAAACAGAGCATACTTGCCGACTTACCGGCTCACCAGGCCAAGGACTTTTTCACCCCAGTGCTCCATGAAGAACGTCAAGGCAGCATGGCTTACGGGCGAAAAGGAAGACGATATGTACAGCTCACACCAAGTGATGGGGAAAATCCACCGGCCCGTGTCTCTCCAACAGCAAGGTACTCCAGAGATGGGCACCTGCATGAACGTGACATCCCTCTGGCGCAACCAGTTGACACGAACCTCTATAGGTTGAGTGCGTCCACTGATGGATTTGACCTCAGCGATTCTCGAAGCTTCAGCTCTGATTTGACTTTTTTCCGGCCGAGGATCCTCAAGAAAAAGCTGTCGAATCTCAGACTTCGCATCACCAAATCATGTTTTAACCTTCGAGAGCGTGCAAACAAGCACATTGGCAGGCGACCCCAACCAACCGGTCTGGCCGGCTCGAAGAACTCTGACGCGACAGTTGTACATAGTGAATGGGCCACGGCCACCCCGGGTCATTCAAAGCAAGTACGAAGGAAGATGAAGAGATGGGTCCGGCAAGCTGTCTCCATCTGTGTCAAGGGCCGGCGAAACGAAAGCGAATTCAGTTCTTAACTGTCAAGGAGAAAATGTTGGAGTCATTATTATCGTCATTGGGTGCGTTTCTTGCTTTTGATTCTCAAGAACATCAACTCTTTGGGAAAAAATACTTATAGCTGTTTTTGGAGGGGTATGAGCGAAGTGATTAGAGTAGATGATACGTGCGGTTGGTTGGGACGTAATAGGTGATGGCGGGTTTGTTGAGAACGAGACATCGTGAAGTGGCTTGACCAGATCAGGGCCAGGTTCACAGAATTAATAAAATGCGATATGATTTAACACATTTCGTTGTGATTAGGAGGCGCTAAGCGAGAATTGGAGGGCTTGCATCATGATGCTGACCTTACCGTATCATATATGGCCATGTTCGGGATACATGACGGAGGGGCTGATTGACCATGAAGGTTCTCATGGCTTCATGCCCGGCCATCACAAAACCGAGCTATCCCCACGGGAATCTATTGATGTGAAGGTTTCCTCGGTACATACTGTCCACGCGACCATCGCACATTCGTTAAGGTCCTCCACCATACCGCTCGTTCAACCGACACTCGTTAGAAACTATCGTGATACAAATCGAAAAGTCGTCTCTAGACTTGAACATTCGCTACGCATTGCCATTCGTTTCACCAATAGCTACACCTAGCTATACCTATAACTACATCAGCCTCACCATCGGGCATATCGGTAACTTGGTCAATAGCTTCATCATCGGCTTTACTATCCAACTCCTATCGACAGCTTCCTCGGCTCCACATATAGCTACATCAACATCCAGCTGTAGCTGAATCAGCCTTAAACATCAGCTCCTCCGACGGTTCTACGGGAAATATCACTACCAAGCTCCATCAAGCCTCGCCGACCGGACTCGGAGCGCAGCCCAGAAAAACCATTCCATTGACATTATCATTCCCCTTCTGACTCCAACAAAACAATCCCAAAAAAAGCCCGACAATGATCTCCTCCCTGTCAGAGATGAAGGACCTCAGGTCACCTCTAGACCGTCTCCCGCTTGTCATCCAACATCCTTCCTTCTTCGAGAATCCGGCTCAACACCTCTCGTCGTCGCGTTCGTCTTCCGCGGCGGGGCACCATACTTGTCTTGACGGGGACCAACTCTTCCACCTGGAATATAAACCAAAGTACATCGTCAAGGATCGTCGCGCCGGCAATGGCGTGGATGTGGATGACGCCGTGGAGCGCAAGGATAGCGTCATGACCGATATTGCCGGCGCGGATGACTCTCTCGATGACAAGACATCTTTGTCTGTGTCACCGCAGTCATTGTCGTCGGTTTACTCGTCCGAGTCGGGCGGTGGTGGTGAAGAGCGGACCGAGGTGATGATGACGGTCCGCAAGTTGGTGAGGGAGTTTGATGAGGAGGGGGAGAGCAGTACCGCGCCCTCCGAGGAGGAGAAGAAGAAGGCCGAGGAGATGGAGATGGAGAAGCGTAAGAAGGAGAAGGAGGTTCGGCAGAAGGAGGTGGAGAAGCAGCAGCAGAAGATGAACAAGAAGAGGAAGAAGAGAGACTCCGTGGCCTTGTTGTCTGGTAGTCCGTGGGGCGGCGACGCTCGATGGATGAATGGGCGACGAGGGGGCAGTAGGAATGGAGGCCACGACGCTCCCGGTATCTTTCTTCAACCCGAGGCTCCTCGGCGTTCGCCTCCGACGCCGATTGATCCCGTTGGCGTGTTCCCGCCCGAGCTGAAGAAGAGCAAAGAAGGGAAGAAGGCGAAGAAGGAAAAGAAAGAGGCTGAGAAGGAGGAGCTCCTGGTGCTGCCCAAGGTGCCGTGGTGCCACCAGAGCGGTGGGTGTCGCCAGAAGCGTGGACGCCGGAGGAGGAAGATGGCCGGGTTCGCGGCGCGGTCGGTCGATTTGCTGCGTCGGCTATTCGGCGGGAAGGGCAGGGAGAAGGAGGACAGGAAGGGGAAGGGGAAGGGGAGGGCGAGGTGTCGGATCTGTGGCGATGAGTTGGGGTTTGCGGTTGAGCTGGCGGAGTGGCAAGAACATAGAGAGTTGGGTTCTGCTGCTGCTGCTGCTGCTGCTGCTGTCATGGGCAGGGAGTCATCGAGCGGCTCTTGTGGAAAAAAGTTGGAAGCGGACTCGGACAGGAAGGGCATGGATCGAATCGAGGCTGATATCACAGCGGTGGCGGAGTGTGAATCACGTTCGACGCTGGCGACTGTTCGGCTCACAAAGATCCCAGAGGCGTGGTGGACCACGATATAGATGGCTTTGACTGCAGAGTCATCTTTGTATTGATACCCAAGTAGCTTGTCGAGAGAATCTTTCTCTCTCAGTCAGCATGGCCACTGAGGGTCAGCTCCTGTAATTCCTAATAGCTAATAGCTAATCAGTCCAAGCGCATGAGCCGTACCCAAATATTCAAGGGGTCAACTCGTTTCTCTCTGGATCAGAATACGCCTCCGCCAATAATGAAGACCCGTTCCTCCTCGCGACGGGCCCACTGGATAACTTTGTTGGCGCCTTGGGTAAGTACGGCACGGCTCACGTTGGGGCCGGCTACGCAGTAAAATTCGAATATCGGTGTGATCCAGGCTAAAGAAGTAGCATCCTCGGAGACGGAATGTAGAACACGCATATGGGAGTGTTTCGCGTGGACGGCAGCGTGCAGTTGATGATATAGGCCCATGAGGCGGCGACGGGCCATCAGGGAGGAGAATACGGGGTCGAGGGCGGACATGCTGAACTGCACGTTCGCACGGGACTTGTAGAGGAAGTGCGATATTTGACCACCCGGAGCAATGTCTGTGGTTTTTGGCCGTCCAGCACGCGCGGCGGTCTGTATAAGTGAGAGATGGCCCGACTTGGCCAGAGAAGCCGCGACGTTATCACGCATTTGCTTGAGCTCAAAGAAGGACTCCTTGTCCGGGCTGATGAGGATGATGGCGAGTTCTTCATCCTTGTGTACCGGCGCCTCTTGCCCCGTGGCTTGCTCGCCGTCGACACCGTCGAAGAAGCTGACGTACATGTACAGGTAGCCGCGATTGTTGAAGGCCGGCAAGCACAGGGGAATCCAATTTTCTCCGCCGCCGGCTTTGATGCCACCCGATTCGAACAGCATATTGAAAATGAGTTGGAGGTCGCTTGGGTGCAGAGAGTGGCGACGCGGACGAATAACACTGACCAGTTTACCACCGGCTACAATCAAGCCGTACAGAAGCTTGTCTGTCCTCTGCTTGAGGAAGGCATTGTTGATGGCATGTCTCTGGGACTTGCGCAGCTTGAGACACTCCAAGGCGCCAAGCAGTGCTGACGGTGAGCCTTTCGTGAAATTATCGGCAAGGGACGAAATCAGGGGCTCAGTTCCTTCGAGTGGTTTTCGAAGATCGGACGATGGTCGATGGACAAAGATGTTTTTCAGCGTGGGCAAGGTCAGTGTCGACAGGATCTGCATGTACAGAGCCTCGAGTTGCGCTCGTAGCTGTGAGTCACTTTCGCCGAGCCGACTGATGGCCACGAAGTAGAGGGGCCCTTGCGTTGCAACAACAAATCGCGTAGTTCCAGCGGTGAAGCCGGACAAGGGGTTCTTAGCCCCTTCATAAAAAGATATGAGGGTTTGAATGACACCCATGGACGAGTTGATCAGCCCCAGGTCTCCGTGACGACTGTAGATGGGTTTGCCTGCCGATGAAAGGATCATGTAGTGCTTCAACTTTGCCTTCCACATGGTGACTCGATCTTCGTCTTTGAAACTCGTGTCGGCCTCGTCGGGTAGGTCGTCGAACTCGTGCTCGAACCCAGCCAGATTACGGGTTATGTTATCCATCCTTAAGGTTTCGAAGGGTGGCACAGTTGCCGATTGCGACCTGAGGAGGTTCCATGCCGGACTTCTCTTATTGAACTCCCCCATCAATAGGCTTGCGATGTCGTTGGGCGGCCGCAGGGTCGGGGAGAAGCTGGCGATACTCATAGAATCTTCGCCCTCACCCAGCGTCCTCGTTGGAGTAGCTTGTCCGCTCGAGGACTGTACTGGGGTTGAAACGGCCCTGCTGCCTGTGGTCGAGAAAGTGCCGCGCGAACCATCTGGGAAAGACAGGGTCTGGATATCGAGAGGTGTAATGGCGGTAGTCGCGGCTGCCATGGCCATTCTCGAATCTATCGAGTCGTTCGATTCCATCGACGGCCGTGGAGGCAGAGGGGGAGGGTGCTCCTCGCTGGGGCCGTTCTCGTGGTCCTCACCCATGATTGCGATGGCGGGAGCATTTCAGCTAGGTGGTCGGGAAGTGGAAAGAAGCGCGGCGATGTTGCAGACTACCTAGAAGTAGAGTAGATTCTTGACTTTATCTGGAATTTGGGTCGCCAACCAGGTTCAAGAGGCCATGACTGGCATTCGAGACCTCACCTAGGGTAAAGGTAGGCTGGTAAGTTGAGAACGTGAGGTTTAAAGACGGCACGGGAAGAGGAGCGAAAGAGGAACCCGACGGGATAAGGACGAAAATCGTCCCAAGTTAACGCAGACCTGCTGATGATGCGTAGGAGGGGCCGCCGAGATCTAGTGGTGCGGCAGCCTCTTCGTAAAGTGCCTTAGTGGGAACGGTCCGCTAATCAGAGCCTGTCTCGGCCCACTTGCTCGCCTGACCTGGGACCGGAGCTAGGCCAAATGCCCCCAGAGCAGGGAGCAACATGGGAATTTGCAAATCCCATGGCCGAGCGGAAACTCCCTTGCCGGAGAAAACATTCCGGACTTTGACAGCTTACTTCAGCAGATGCAATACACTGGCAGCTGATTATCTAGATAAAAGTAATGCCGTTTGCTGCAAGAGGTTGTGTGTGCACTTGGTAAAAATGCAGGGGAATCTCAAGAATGATCAAGAACCAAGCCAAGGAAGGCATGGACTGAACCAAACTGTTGTCCAGACCATTGTGCATGCACACTACCTAGTAACTGACATGACCGGGCACAATACACCAGTTTCCATCCAGTGTTTTGTCTCTAGTGCTGAAAGATGTGTCTCATATCGTGAGGCTCAGTGGTGGAGTGTCCAATCAAGGTGGAAAAGCGACAGAACGCATACAGCCCACAATTTCCAGGTGCACCCCAAATCCAATGCTCAATGACGTTGCGCTTTGTCCTATCTCGGCGTTGATGGAGAGTGTTGTGCCAGCCTCGCCAGGCGAGAACGGTCGCTAAACTAGTCTGCCCAATGGGAAGCTTGGGAGCTGTCAGGGTGCCACCCCACTGTACACCTGTCGTCTGGAAGGAGACATGGTAGCCTTTCGAGCTCAAGCAACACTGGGCTCTTTAAACCCTGTTCACGATCACTGCATGCGACGACTACCGACGCCAGCTTGATTCTCCAAGGCTAGGCAGCGATGCGATACCGTCCTTACAAGACCATAAGAACAGACTGATGTACTCACTCGTTCAATCAACGCCCATTCTCAGCAATCATGGCCCTTGAGCCTGGCTCTGGCCGTCGGTCTGTCTCCCCAGAGAGCTCAGGCCGCGAGTCTCCTCTTCCTCGTCAATGGAGAAACCAGCTCGGAGCTGGTAAGCGATTTGTCTTTGAATTTGGGAAGACTTCATGTATTGATTCAATGTGATAGAGGAAGCACCGACCAAGGACAAGCATTACCGCAAATACGCCTCTGGTGTTGAAAGGGCCCTTACTCTGTTTGAAACGGCCTTACAGGAATGGGCTGACTACATTTCCTTCCTGAATCGCCTCCTCAAGGTAAGAGTCTTTTTCACGATGGCGAACCGATGTCCAAAACGACGAGAGACTGATCGTACTCATCAGGCACTGCAAGCCCGACACCCGTCGGTCACGACTATCCCTTCGAAAGCCATCGTCGCGAAACGCCTGTCGCAATGTCTCAACCCCTCCCTCCCGTCCGGCGTGCACCAAAAAGCACTCGAAGTCTACAGTTACATATTCGCAACCATAGGCACTGATGGGCTATCCAAGGATTTACCATTGTACTTCCCTGGCCTGGCGTCGACTCTTTCGTTTGCCTCTCTATCCGTCCGATCCCCCTTTCTCGACATTCTTGAACACCACTTTTTAGACATAGACCCCCGGTCTCTTCGGCCAGCCATGAAATCAGTTGTTCTGGCCCTTTTACCTGGCCTCGAGGACGAAACTAGCGAGGACTTTGAACGAACGTTGCGATTGATGGAGAGCTTCAAGACCGCGATCCGACCCGCAGGCAGCGACGAATTGGATGGACCACATTCATCAGGAGATGACTTTTTCTGGCAATGCTTCTTCTTGGCCTCTATCACAGGATCAAGTCGGAGAGCTGGGGCGCTAGCATACCTTGTGAGGAACCTGCCCAAATTAGGCGAAACCTCTTTACCAGGGAAACCAGGCAAGAATGGCGTCCAGGAAGACGAGCATTCTGCAAAACTCGCACAAATGGTCACCTCTCCAGAACCTGGATTGCTTTTACGTTGCTTTGCTGCTGGGCTTGCAGACGAGCAACTCCTCATTCAGCGAGGATTCCTAGATCTCTTGGTCACCCACCTTCCCTTGCACTCCAAGGTGTTGCAGACGAATGTCAAACCAGGCGACTTGGAGCTTCTTTTGCGTGCGGCGGCTGGTGTTGTCATCCGGAGAGATATGAGTCTCAACCGAAGGCTTTGGGCATGGTTTCTAGGCCCGGACCCTGGACCCGGGGAAAGTGAGAGCGGTATCGAGTCTCCATCTTCCACGGACCATCATAACTCCTACTTTGCGTCTAAGACGAGTTACTTTGAAGACCATGGGCTCCAGCCTTTAACCAGGGCGCTGTTGAGCATGATCAATGTCGACCGCGATTCGAGCCCAGCAGAGAGAGCGAGACCTTACAGAATATGCTTGTCGCTCATGGATCGATGGGAAATTGGCGGGCTGGTAGTTCCTGAGGTTTTCCTTCCGATTGTCAACAGCGTCCGGCAGTACAGAGACCATGCACCCAGCAAAGCTGACTTCAACGAAGTCTTCCGCAGCGCCAGCGTGTTCTTCGATGGTGTCGAGAGCGGTCTGATTTACGGCGAGATTGTCAGTCTCTTAGCGCAGGCTATAGGACCAGGAAACCTTGCAGAAAAAGAACGGCTCGACAAGTTGGATTTGGTCAATTTCATCCTGGCAAACTTCAATGTCCGCGAGGAGGAAATGATCACTATTCATGCGCCTCTTACAGCTCTCTCGATTATCTGCATGCTAGAGGACACGAGAGAAAGACAGCAGAACTCTCCCATAAAGTCGTCGCAAAAGACTGCCGACGAGGCATTGCACATTGCTCTAGCTGTGTTGGACCTTATTCCGGATCGAGCCTTCCCGTCTTCGGATGGCAGCAAGTCCAAGAGGACAATGGAGGCCGGTGTTCTGGCCTCACTTCCTGCCGTCGAACTTTTGAAACGAATCAAGGCATTCTACATCGACGAGCAAGGAAATCTCGATGCCGTCCATGTTCCACTCTCGCCTATCGAGGTTGGAGAATTGCTGTTGCAAAAGTCTGGCTTGCTGGTCTGCGAAGGATTGAAGAACCCCGAAGCAGGGTCCGAACTAGGCGCCAAAGGGAGGATTCTGACCGCCCTACTACTCAAAGTGCCGACTACGTACCAGCTTGACACGACGTCCCTCCTCTCTTGTCTTCACGAGCGTTTGAATCACACAAGCACATTATCTTTCACCTCCTTCAACTCAATTCTGTACCTCTCCGCCCATCTTTACTCTGCAGAGCGCATAGAGGTGCCAAACCTAACCGAACTTGTCACGCCACTCGTCCAACAAGCTTGGGAGTTTCTGTCAGCTTCAGAACCAAAGTACCACGTCGAGACTGTTAGATCATTGTGGCAGCTTCAGACTGCTCTCACATCACATAATCGAGATATAGAGGCTGCCTTGGCCAGCCTCATTATCGAGAATGACGTTCAGGGATCCTTCGCATCACGTCCCGCCGATGCTGGCCGCAGATTCAGCGTGCTTTGGTCTCATACGTTGCAGGATTCCAGTGCTGAAAGGCGAGGTTCAAAAACACCCATGACCGAGAAGCCTCCACAGATCCGGCTGGCTGGGTCAGAGAACTACGATGTCATGTTGACGCGACCTCTCTTTCTCATGCTCGATGCCCTTTTGGATGAACGAACCCAGTTGTTCATGACTGTCAAGGGATGGCTGAATAGTTTGGTTGGTATCGACAAGTAGGTTTGCCCGTCTTTAGAGGCATTGACCCAGCGTGTTTACTGACGACGATAGACTCTTCTTGCTTTTCGTGAGGAAGTTTTCTGCATTAAAATCCCTTAGAGCGAGTAACGAAATTGGATCGGCATCAACTTCGACCAATTCAACGACGTTCACGGCTGAAGACGATCTGGATCTTTGCCTTTACTACCTGAGAACTCTGTCGAATGTTTTCCGATGGGCGCCAGACGTGATCTGGGCTGTTTTGGCTTCTACAACGATCACCGTGGATGGCGGGCATCCGGATGTCGCGCAGATGAGTAAGTAGGAAATCCTGACTGAAGGTACCTGATGCTAACCCGTAACAGCTGGTCATGAAGGTGACATCTCAATGCAAGAGGTATTCATCCACGTTTGTCTACGGTGCATCGCTGGCAACAACGAACCTGCAGACGAAACCATCCGAGTCCGAGCAACTCAACTTCATCGCTATGCCTTGACCGTCATGCACCAAATTCTCCTGAACCCCTATGCGGAACCCCTGGGAAGCCTCCATCTCGAGAATGTTCTTATCGAGCGTCTCCTCCAATCGCTCGCTGGACCCGACCCCTATGTTCAGGTTCTTCTGCTGGACGTCGTGTTCGATGCACTGAAACTCCGAGACATCATCATTTCCGATGTACCTGCTTCTCCGTCATCGGAGAAGAGAAAGCTGAGTCTTGAACCGAGCAAGAGCCTTAGAGTATCGACACAGTCAGAGGCCAAGCCGACGTCACCGCCTCCCAACTTGCTCAAGTGTCTCCAGGCTGGCTTAAGCTCTCCCAGCAGTCGCAGTGTTCTCGACAGTTGGGTCAGCTTCTTGACGGAATGCTTACCGTTCTACTCCGATACCATCTTCCAGGTTCTCATTCCTCTTGTGGAGACTTTATGTAGACAAGTCTCCAACACTTTCAGTGACTTACAATCCATATTCCGAGACAACGGCAATTCAAAGAAGGATGACCGGAATGCGCCAGAGTCTACACTGATCTCGTTACTCAACGCTTTGGAGCAAGTACTGGCCCGGGCACACGAGCGACTTCTGATTGAAGAGGCCAGAACGCAAGTTGTGAAGGGTCCGGATCAGCAGCCATCGGGATTCTTTGGCACCATGGTATCCGGTGTCTTCACCTCGGATGCCCCACAAGCGCGGAGTGCCACCGCAAATGATAGACTCACGGTGCACCTTGCGTTCGCAGATGCTGTTCGCATTTGCTTCACAATTTGGTCCTGGGGCCAAGGGGGCGATATCAATGCTCAGGACTTGACATCTGTTTCGTCTTTCAACTACACATCTCTTCGAATGAGAAACCGGGCAAGACGACTGCTAGAGCACCTTTTCACAGCAGAGACCTTGGAGTGTCTCGAGACAGTCATCGAAATCTGGCGGGGCTCTATCAATATCACAACACCTGTACCGCAATCCGAAGTATTCAACCTCTTACCAGCGTTGGATGGTTCACGACCAAAGCACACTATCCCTGCCATCTTCAATGCTATTTACAGCAGAACGAACCCCGGGGCATTGGACGCTTCAAGAAAATCAACGTTGACAACATCTCTCCAAGACATTGACCTCGTCACATTCTTGGTTGAATATGCCCGCTCGCTGGAGGACGACGCAATGGACGAGATTTGGCTCGACTGCATGGCGTTCCTGCGTGATCTGCTCACAAATCCTTTCCCACACAGACAGACACTACCAAGTCTGTTGGAGTTCGCGGCTATCCTGGGCGAAAAGGTCGACAACACCAATTTCGGGGAGCAGCGGAAGATGAGACGCGAGCTTGGGGTAAGCATTATTACCTTAACACATGCTATAGAGAATATACTAACAAATAGGACAGGATCTATTCCTCCGGCTCCTAACGGCGATCTTCACAACCAAGCCCCTGACGTTCTCAGATACGGCCCCAAACGACAAGTCAGAAAAGAACCGCGACGGTGTTCGCCGCGCCCCCACGATTGCGCTGGTCAGTGTCCTCGATAGAGCCGAGGATGTGGTCGCAATCTTGGCCTCAATCGTGCCGAACCTTCCCAAGATCCTAGTCGAAACGGACCGTGTGCTGTCCGCAGCCGGTACAATTTCAACAAATGTCATCAATCCAGCCTTCAGAGCGAAGGCATTCCCTGATACTGTGTCCAAGAACACACTTGTCTTACTACAAGAACTGTCCAGGCTACCCAATAACCAAAAAACGTGGAAGAAGGACGTTGGAGACGCGTTCAACGATGCTCGGTTCTTCAGCTCAAGCATTGAGCTCGTCCGAAGCGACTGGTTGCCGTTGCTTAGACAATGGACCGTCAGTGACAAGGAACGTATGCCTGAGCTTCTGACCCGCATGACTCCGCCCACCACGGCCGGCATCGTGTTTGGTGTTGGTGCCACTTCCGCTCGATTGGAGGCAGATCGGAAGACGCAGCTCAACCTTCGTCGCACTGCGTCGCTAGTCCTCGCAGCTACGGAGGACGCATTTGTCACAGAGCTTCCCATCATCACTGACAAAGTAGTGGAGCTTCTCGGCGCCACAGCGACGTCCTCGCCTTCCTCTACAACAAGAGCGGAGATCTTCATGCTTGTCCGCGCACTTGTGCTGAAGACCAGTGCTATCCACCTGGCTATGCTATGGCCGATTATCAACGCCGAACTTCATGCAGCCATCGCGTCTGTCGTGGCTGCCGATCACAGCACCGCATCTGATACCTACAACAACATCTCTATCCTACAAGCCTGCAAGTTGCTAGACCTGCTCATTTGCGTTGCGCCGGATGACTTCCAGCTTCATGAGTGGCTCTTCGTCACGGACACTATTGACGCTGTGTATCGATCCAGCAACTATCAGCCTATTGCACTTGTCGATGAGCTTGCAGAGGAGCTTGGCACTATGGGTGTCAGCTCTTCGCTGGGTAGCAATCCTGCGGCGCACTTGGCCACGAGCAGCTCCCATAGACGACCACTGCTTGGACCTGGCGGCATCAATGATGAGGTGAGCATTGATAGAAAGGACGAGCTCGTGGGCAAGATCCTACGGCCGTTCTTTGGGCAGCTCAGTATCTACGCTTTCGAGTCGACGTACGCGATGGCGCCACTAGACCGGGAGTTTTGTGTTCAGGGGGTATTGAAGGATTTGTTCGATGAACGTAGCGTTGTCAAGGCGTTGTAAAAGCAGGTTTTGCTTGTGTTAGAGTGTGGCCCTTAGTGAAAGAGCTAGAACAAGAAGAAATGTTCATTACGGTTTTGATTGTGTTGTACTCAACGTTCCCGGTATGAATGCCACCATTGCCTTACTCGCCCCTTCCATGCAATACTGCACTACTTCAAGCTTCTCCCCCTCCGGGGCTAATTTCGCCACCTGTCTCAGATCACTTGTTCGAGGGAGATACAGCGCATGATCCATGGGTTTGCAGGCCTCGTGCAGGTCGTCCAGATTATACGGTTCCATCTTGCTCAGATCAAACACCTCGGCGGTCCGGTACCCCGGTCCACCCCAAGGCGGCGAAGCAAAGACCACCGTCTCGGCCATGTCCACCCTCAACTCCTCGCTCAGCTCCTCGGGGCTCTCCCTCAGCTTGCGGAGGTAGTCGAAGCAGTCCCCGTGGATCCAGGTGATGTACTCCGCGACCTCGTACAGCTCTGCGTTGTGCTGGGCGCACGCCAGGGTGGCGGCGTCGCGCTCGATGGAGATGACGCGATCCCAGCGGGCCGAGAGGGCGAAGGCGATGGTGTTGCCGCCGGCGCCACCGAAGATGTCGACGAGGACGCGTTTTGAGGCGTCGGTGTGGTACATTTCGTTTGCGACTTGGTTTGCGACGGGTTCGGGGGTCACGCCGAACCAGGCGCTATCTGTGAGGTAGACGCCCTCGTCGTACCAGGAGAAGAGGGAGTAGCGCTGGGAAAAGTATCTAGATGTCTGATTAGCTTCTGTTGCGATGTGACCTTTGATCGAAAGGAGAGGGTTTGGTTTACTTTTGAAGATCCCAAGGCACTTCTGCTTTGGACTTGTAGTGATGGCACTCATCCGTTAGGGGGAGTCTGGTGGCCGCCTTCATTTTGGTGGTGATGCATAAGTGTAAGGTAAACTCAATCCCAGTTCCCCTTTGTTAAGAGGGAGATTTCTATGGATTAAGAGTCTAGTTGATCAGACCCATCGAGACAATATCACATGTTGAGACTTATAAGAGAAAGTCGCCCAGTGATGGAAAATGAGATGAACGAGGCTGAAGCAACAGGAAGCTAAAAAGTCAGGTCCCACTTGGTGACCCCACTAGTGTGGGAAGAAGCTTGGATCATCTGCAAGGCTGACGGGGGACCTTGGATGACAGCTTGTTCCAAGTAGGAACGAATGGAATGCTCGCAACGACAAACACCGAGTAAATAGCCACCACAGACCTAAATACTTACCGATCTCGAGCTTACATACCGAGATTCCCGTTCTCAACAAACACGACACAACACAAGAAGATAACTCAGCTCGAGCGTCGAGCGCATCACCATGTTCAATGCGCTGAACCGCTTCATGTCCCGCCTGGATGGGCAGCAACCAACTCAGCAGAATAACCAGGGCTCCTTCGGTTTCCAGGTGCTTCGCAACACGAATCTCGAACTCAACGTTGAGCCTTGGTTTGACTTCATCATCGGTATCAATGGCCGGCCCATCGTACGTAATCTTCGTGACCTAGTATACATCCCATCTCAGACACAAAACACTAACAAGCCGCCCCTCCACACCAGGACAACCCCGACCCAAGCCTCTTCGCCCAAGAAGTCCGCAACTGCGCAGGCGGCTCCGTCTCCCTAGGCCTCTGGTCCGCAAAGGGCCAACGCACTCGCGAGATCCACGCCCTCGTCCCCCACGACACCGCCTCCCTCGGCCTCTCCCTGCAGTGGACCCCCCTCGCCGTCGCCGCCAACATCTGGCACGTCCTCGACGTGGCCGCAAACTCCCCCGCCGACGGCGCGGGCCTTCTCCCTTACGGCGACTACATCCTCGGCAGCCCCGAGGGCGCCCTCCACGGCGAGGGCGGGCTAAGCGAGCTCGTCGAGGACCATATCGGTCGCCCGCTGCGCCTGTACGTGTACAACAACGAGTACGACGTCACGCGCGAGGTGACGATCCAGCCGACGCGCGAGTGGGGTGGCGAAGGCGCGCTCGGGTGCGTGCTGGGCTACGGCGCGCTGCACAGGTTACCTGCGCCGCTGAACGAGCCCGTCGACGCGCCGGGCGAGATGATGTTCGACGCTGGCGGGGAGAAGGCCGACCCGGCCGCCGCGCTGTACGGGAAGGCGGGCCCCGTAGGCGAGGTGCAGCAGAATCTTTTCTCGCCCGCCACGCCTGGTCTCGGCGCACCTCCTCCTCCGACAGGGGGTGACTTCTTGGTCCCCGCGCAAATGATGGACGCGGGTGCCGCGGCGCCGCCGCCTCCTGCGGGCACGCCGACGACGAGGAAGAAGAAGGAGAGGCATCACGGCGGGAACAATAACTTTATGGACGACTACTTCAAGGAGGAGGAGAAGAAGAGCAGGGAGGCGGATAATGCGCCCAGCGGGAGGGGTACCCCTGTTGCGCCGCCTCCGAAGATGGGGGGACCGCCGCCGCCGCCTAGAGCTGGTTCGACAGGACCACCGAGGGATCAGCCTGCGGCCGAGGGTGCTGAGTGATAGAGAAGGGGTTGGGAAGCTGAGGCTGGTGGGTGGGTGTCAGGATTATAGAACTAGAAGTTTGGAGCCCACTGTGATGATGATTCCCAGAATTGCACTTTTTTTTCTTCTTCTCTGACATCTACCGTGCTGTGATGCAACGCCTGCTCAAATAATGTACATTGCTTTGTTCGTTCCGCATGCTCATGCGATTGTGATATTGTTGCGTTGATGCTTCATCACCAATTGGTCTATCCACCCCCTACTTCGAACCTCAGTCTTTGGCCTTGAGGACGGACACCCCCTTTTCTTGTCCTGACTGAAGATAAAAGAACTTGTCTCCTGTTCCTTTCATCTGGTATGTGCTCTTAGTTTATGAAGTTGACGCAGAAGAAGTGCAGAATCAGACTGCACGCGACGTAGTCGGCAAAAGCTCTGTCATTGTAGTGTTAGTCTCTGTAGTCGTTGTCTTCTGTTCGTGGTTTTTTGCGACTGAGGAGAGGGAGAAGGAAACTGGCATACCTCTCAGGTGATACGGAGGGGAAGTCGGACTTGTTGGCCTCGGTGGTCTGGATGCGCAAGGATGCTAGACGACTAAAGTTAGCGATTGTCAAGTGTGCTGCCATGATTTTGTCTTACCAGTGAGGACGAATTGGCCGACGGTGGCAGAGAAACCGGAGAGGAAGGCGTTGAAGGGCTATTTCGCATCATGACGTTAGCAGTTGTTGTTCCGTAGGTTTCCATATGATAATCCACCAAGGTTCCTTCCTCAAGCCATAACTGTACAAATAATCCCCATCTGTGATTTCCAAGAGGCAAGAAGCCTCCAACCAATTGAGAGGGTAAGATATAAGAAAAGACATACGTAGTTTCCAGCAACCACGCAGTACAAGAACTGCAGCGCGCCAACAACGACCAAGAAGGCCATGAAGACGTCAATCAGCTTGGTGCGCTGCGGCGTGCTCTTGACGTAGTGGTTGTAAATGTTGGCCAGGACCTGGTCCCAGTTCTGGGCGCCGCTGCCGCTGCCGGTGCTCTTGGGGGTCATGGTGATGGGTACGGCCTTGGGCTGCGAGGTCATCGTGCCCGGGATCGCGGCGGCGGCGGTCGGTCCCGCGGGCGAGGTGGGCGGCTCGGGGTGGTGGACTGCGGGAGCGGCAGTAGCAGGTGCTGCTTTTTGGGAGGAGGCGGTTCGCTTGGGCGCCATTGTTGGGGATTTTGATCGTCGAAATCGGGGGGGATGGGAGGGGAGAGTTTGGCGGTACTTTGAGAGGAAATTCGGGGTTCGGGTGGGTGGTGAACCGAAGAGTTGAGGAAATGTCTCCTTCCAGATTGTCTCGATTGCTGCGTACGTACTGCGGTCACCAGTACAATTGAGAGCTGGGGGGGGAGCTCTGGAGGACACGAAAGCTTGAAGCCACAGGGCGTCAGGTGATAGATGTGGCTGGTGTGGCCTTGTACCCATGAGCAAGAGCGTTGCCAAGCCACGAATCTGGGGTAGCAGTCCAGTGGTGGTCCCTGACGACTCCCGCTGCGGCGTGCCCCTGGGAAATGTCGTGATTAGTCAGGGTCCCGTCGATGGATGAGATCATCCAGCAGCTTTCCCAGAAGCTGTTCCTTTTTTGAGTGGGTGGGAGGCCGAAGCTTTGACTTCCCGAGGCACCGAAGCAAGCAAACAACGGAACTTCCTCACCTCTGCTCACCAAGGAACTATCTTACTAATTCTCACTTCAATTCATCTCAATCGCAATCCGACATCGATTGAATTTGTGTTCCCAGTAATTTCTCACAAACAAATCACTCCAAAATGGTACGATGACTTGTCTCCTTCGCATAAGAACGTAAAGCTGACAAAAGACAATATGCGCAGTCCTCTGACCTCTCCGTCCCCTCCTTCGCCCTGGCCGTATTGACGGCCGGAGGCGGCATCGCCGGCTACGCCCGGACAAAGTCCGTCCCGTCCATCGTCGCCGGAGTCAGCGTCGGTCTTCTCTGTACGCATAACTCCACCGCGCCATCATCCCCTTTCCTACATCTCTCAACATCCCCCCTCCATCCGCTTCACAGCATCCATCCCCTGCCCCGCGTTGTCGCATAAGTAGCTTCAGTAGGTTGGCAACATGAGTGAGCTAACCCGAACTTACGCAGACGGCCTCGGCGGCTACCGCATCCAGAACCGCGAGCCCTACGGCGTCGAGCTGAGTCTGCTCGCCTCGGCGGTCCTCGGTGGCTCCGCCATCCCCCGCGCCATCCGCCTCCGCAAGCCCGTGCCGATCCTCCTCAGTGTGCTGTCTGTCTTTGGTCTCTTCACCTTTGGCAACGAGTTCCGTCGCACGTTGTGAAGGGAATGAGTGTTTGGGAGGAGTTGTAGGATTGTTGAAGGATGAGAAGAGTATGGGTGTTGTTTTGTAGGAATACAAATTATCCAACAATTTTGCCGTATTTCTTTTTTGTCTCTGCTGACGTGAGAACATCGATCGAGTATAATCTATTGTACAATCTCTTGCTCCCTCATAGGATGCCCCAAACCATTAGATCGCTCATGTTATTTTTGGTATTCCGTCCCGACCCAGATGCCGTCGCCAAAAATCAATGTAGTTGCGAGTGTTCGTAGTATAATACAATTCGTGTTTTTTTCCCTTGTTGCCGACCTGTCCACCAGTCGTCTAGGTCAGAAAAACGATTCGGTCGTTTGTCGGTCGTCTGCTTCTGTGATTTAGCTCCGCAGTCTAATCGAGACCGAGCGACTTGTTGAGCTCCTTTATCCGGTTCTCGCGCTCCTCCCTCTTGGCCCTCGCAGCAGCCCGGTTGGCCTCGGTGCGCCTTGCGCGCGCGCCGCGGAGGCACTCGCTGACCTTGTCCTTTGCGTCGTTGCAGCCACCGAGGGACTTGAACATGAAGCCCTTTGCGTGGCACTCTTCGAGGGCGACCATGATGTCTTCGCACTCTGTTTCGCAGGAGGAAAGCGGTTAGTATGGATGCTTTCTCGTGGTTGGTACGATATCCAGGGGGTAAAGGGGGGGGCATGTGGCAATGCGACGGGGTTTGAATGACCCAAAGGCGAGAGGGAGGAGGAGGGGCGCGGATGGAAATCATGACGGATGCATATGTTGGTGACTTACCGAAGTTGTCCTTGGTGTGCAGGTGAGGATGCATTTTTGATTCGGCTTCGTGGGTTGTTTACGGAATTGAGAAAGGTCAAGTCAAGGGAAGGGTTGTCAAACTGTCGTGGGAGGAAGAGTTTGTTCGTCGTCGGTGTTTGCTTTGTGATCACGATTGTAGATGCGCCAGAGGAAATTCCCGGTGAGTTTCCTATGCGATAGAAGATTGGGAATTGGCCTGCGAGGGATTGGATAAGACCACTTCGGTTCGGTGGGGCAGCAGGCGGCGCGCCGGGCTTTGTGCATTTTCGGGGTGGTCTCAGTCAGTCAGTCACCTGTGAGGTATCCGGAGAGAGCGCGGCAAAAGCTCGGGCCACATCGAATACCCTTCTAGAACTTCCATCCCACAGTTGGTCACTGCTCGCGCGCGGTGGTGGAGGGGAGGGTCGATTACCTCAGGCTTGTCCGTTCGCTCCCTCACTGTGAGATTCATAGCCCTGCATTGTACCTACCTTACTTTCTTCAACGAGGTCTCATCAACCCCGGCCATTCATCTCTCACAGACTTGACTTCACGATGGCGGCCCAGGTGAGCCAGAAGAAGCAGCAAGGTTAGTTGACTCACTCACCATTCCTCGACCGCCGAGGGGGGAAAGGAGATGTTACTCTTGGAAGCATAACCCCGCCATGGTTTTCATTGCTAACCTGCTTTTTCCTAGACCTGCAAACGCAGTATGGCGTCTACAAGAACACCCTGCAACAGATTGCGCAAAAGATTGGCGATGTAGAGCAAGAAGCCGAAGAACACAAGTGCGTCTTTCTGTTCCTATTCCGAGTCTTCCTTATCTTCACTTCATCTTATTCCCTCACGGCGCCTTCGCAATATTGAGAGACAGAGAAAGGCCGTCACCCATGCCCTGGATGAGATCGTGAACCCTGCGTCGTCCAAGGAAAGGGGTGGTATAGGCACATGATGGATTTTCTCTCCCCTTCTCGTTCTCAAACCGGAACTCACTCCGGCATGGCCCTCCGCCAACTGTTCGCCCTCATCACACCGCTCTTCACTCTTCATTCCTTCAGAAACTCAAATGACGAACCCTTGATGAACCCCCCCCCCCCCCCCCCCCCCCCCCCCCCCCCCCCCCCCCCCCCCCCCCCCCCCCCCCCCCCCCCCAACAACCTCCCTTTTCCCCCCCCTCCCCCCCCAACCCCCCCCCCCCCCCCCCCGCCTCCCCCCCCCCCCCCCCCCTCCCGCCTTTCCCCTCGTTGCCTCTCTCCCCGGCACACCGCCTCCCATGAATAATGAACCGTTTTTATTCTAACCTTGACTCGTTTCACACAGGCTCGTCCTAGAGACCCTGCAACCGCTATCCGAGGACCGGAAGTGCTTCCGCCTCATCAACGGCGTCCTCATGGAGCAGACGGTCAAGGACGTCATGCCCGCCCTGACGACCAACTCGGAAGGTCTGAAGAAGGTCCTGGAGGACCTTGTCAAGCAGTACAAGGCTAAACAGGACGAGCTGGAGAAGTGGAAGGTTCGTGTTGGATGCAAGAGACATTGCTCCTTTTACTTTCCTCCTGCTATGAGGTCACTGGATTGTAAACGATTACTGACGAATGTGGAATTATAGAAGAAGAACAATGTTCAGGTTGTTCAGAACTGAGATTTAGGAACATTGGGTTTGGATCACCATAATGTTGGTCTGCAACGTTGACTTCGATAGTCTTTGTGCAACAGACTGATGACGACGGCCTTTCGGTCTGCTCGGTGCACATAGATCGACGGAACGGGTGATTTGGACGGGGAACAAAAGACGGCTTTTTCGTCGTGTGTTCTTGATCAGGCGTTCTAGTTGCGGCCTCTACTGAGAAGAGCACAAGGGACAGCAAAATCGTTATGCGAACATCAAAGGCGTCCAAAATGAGGCGGCATCGAATATACCCATGGGTTGATGCTACGATGAGGGGAGGAAGCCAACCCAGCAATACATCTCAGCCTCAGGAAAATAGAGACATGAAGACCACGCAGTGGCAGCAATGCGTTGTTCGACGTCGTAGACTTGTGAGACATTCAGAAGCAATAGAGATAACGGCGGTAACCGCGTTTCAGTGCCCAACAAGATCGTACTTGCAAAGGTCGTCAGACTGGCAGACCACTGAGAAAAGATCATTGGCACATCTGGCGATTCAAGATGGCTGGCTGAGATCGACCCAACTGGCGAGGCGTGCTTACTGGCTGCCTGTCATGCGGCCTAGTGACGAAAAGGTGTGCTGCGTGTGGCCTCTGACAACCTGACGGCCGTTCGCTCGCGTCTGAAAGCCTCCTTTTTCCGGGGCTACGAGACCAATGCCTACCTATTAGCTCACATCGTTTCTTTCGAAAGAATGACGCTAAACACTTGAAATTTGTCTGCCACTCGGGAGAGAAGGCACCGCGGAGCGGAGGCGGACCGGCCCATGGTGACCGGCGACGGGTTGGAGCCTGGCCAGACGTCAGAAGCTGTACCGCGTGTGCGTATATGGAGCCTATCTGTCTAATGGGCAGAGGGCGGTCATCCGATTCGTAAAGTGCCAAGTGATGAAACGTGAGGTCTGCGGTGATCGACTGATGTTCCCGTTCTGAGGGTTCTTACAGCCGTGATATCATGCTTGGTCGAGCTAATGCCCAACGAGCGGCACGATTTGGCCCTGATCCGTGGTCAGCCGCGGGCTAAGTAGATGCGGGAGGCAACCAGTGGTCTAGATCCGCCTCGCTCTTCCATGGAGTTTCCTCATAGTCGCATGCATCCTGTAGGTACAAGTACGAAATCGCATTCAGTAAGTGGGTTGGCAACATCATGGACTACCAAATACGGACATGGTCGCGGACACAAGCAGTGGGTTATTGACGACCGCCTGGACCTAGTAATGCATGGCCGTACCCAGGCCTCGGATGATGTCGAGGAATGTTCATATTGAGTTGTAGACAGGGCGCAGGACTTGACAATCGAAATTGACACAGCGACGACATTGCCCGATTCCCCGATGCTGGCGTCGGGCAGTTAAACAGCTTGATGGCTCACGCAGAGAGACCAGACCGGTACCCCTCGGCGCTGCTGTAAGAGACCAGGGTCGACACAAAATGTGGCTCTGAGTTGTCACCAGCTCTGGGGTGAGAAGCAGTGCAGCCAACACATGCAACCCTTTCGCCTGTGACATGAAATCACCCGCAACGGCGAGGGAAGGCCGAAGTGCGAACGGATGCTGATACGGTATACATACTGCGTACCCCTCTCGCCATGATGAGTGGGAAAAGGAGGGGTAGGAACCGCATCATCCGGACTAGGGTCGTGGAAAACAAGAGTGGAAGGTCAGCGCATCACTGCATCGCAGGAGTTTTTGGTGGTGGTCCTTCATTTTTGTTGCGGCAGGCATCGTCCAATCCGAGCCCAATCCAAATAAAGGGTTATTGGCTCCCGACAGAGCAGAGGAGCCCAACTTCGATGAGGGTGACTGGCTGAGTTGGCGGTTGTCTGTTGCAGCGCTGCATGCAGGGTCGGGCGTACTGTAAGGCGATGGGCCGCCGATTGGTGACCGGCGCCTCCTTGAGACAGATTGGAAGAATTTCTCCGCGACTTTCTTCCTCCTAAAGGTGGTAGTTGAGTCGCACGTCTGGCTGGTGTACCCAGGGCAACCAACGTCAACCGGGCTCTCTCTCGTCTCTTGCGAAGCGAAAGAGCCATCATTGGACGTCATGTTGCGCAGCCTTGTTTGCGTGTATCTCAAATGGCCCATTCAAGAGGCCCCTCTTCAGTTATCGCGCCCGAAGAGGAAAGTAGCTGTACGAGCCAACCAAGGTGCACGTTTCGGCCCAAGCGGTCGTCATCCAGGGCGCTTGCTTTGGCTGCCGTCAGCCTTCTCGTGCCTGACACGGTCTGGTTGGGGGCGATGTTGAGAAAGACAGCTGACAGGTTCGACGGCTTGTTTACTCCAGACGGTGCCATTGTCAAATCAGCCGGCGCCCTCGCCCTCCCACTCGGTCTTGTCGCAACGGATGAGCTACCCAAACTGCCACAAGTCGCACGGTCGATGAATCCACATCGGTATAAGTAACTATCGTATTGCGCCAGCTGCATCTTTCTTTTGATGACACCTGTTGAGGGCGATGGGCATGGGCCCGCGCGATAGAGCTTACCAATGCTCTTGAGCGGACGTCTTTGGTTTCCCCACCTCAAGATCAAAGGTATCATCAGCAGACTTGCAAGAACAGAAGCTCACATCATACTTCCGTCCCGTTATGTCGGTTGTGCTTCATGCACCCGCTTGGCGTCCGCCATGGGCCGGTGGAAGGCAAGGTAGCTGTGCTTGCTACCCTCCTCTGAGCTTAGTGAAGTGGCTTTGCGCAGCCCATCCGTACACCGCTCATATACGGGAGGACGGGCAGGATGACCAGCGTCCGTGTTGATACAGCATGAATGCATGCAATGACACATCAAATTTTGCTAGGCAGGAGTATCGGAAGGGATGGGAGAGGTAAGTATGAGTTGCCTTTCTTGTACCTTTCGTCGATCCCGTGGTGGTGCTGGTAGACGACGGATTCTTAGCTTCCGGAGGGTAGTTTTGATCTTTGATCTCGGATGCCTCGTGGTCTGACGGGGGGTTTTGCAGGGTCGAAGATGTCGTCAGACTGACAGACGCCCAAACTGACATCCGAGCGCGTGAGCTCGGTAAACCGTAAATAAAATGGAGTATGCGAAAAGCAGTCGCAGCTTCCAGGTTCGGAGCGCATCCCCTCAGCCGCGTGGTGTTAGGGAAGAGGATCAGATGGATGGGGGATCCAGGTACCGCGCTAAACCTTGGAGGACGACATGGAGCTGACAGGTACTTGCAAAGGTGGTGTTGAATGAATATATTTCAGAAGTACTCATCACGTTATCGATAAAACGGCTGGTGGGCAGCGCGACTTTGAGGGACTTTGGCCTTGTTATTGTGTTTAATGCGCCTGCCTCTTGTTGACCGCACCTTCATTGCCCACTTTCCCTCCATTTCTCCCTTCTGCACCAACCCCACGTTCTTGCAGCCATCAACAAGTACAGGTGTATCCTCCATTCAAGGCGCATTGTTAGGGTCTACTGCGACCTCGATCGAACAACTCAGACACCCCAAATTCATGTAAGGAAAAGAATTCTACAACCCCTTGTCGACGGCACTTGCTGGCCCCTCTCCCATGTTTCCCCCCAACCACACACACCACACGCACACACAACCACACACAACGCGCGCGTTGAGTGCTTAGGTCCTTCACTGCTCGGCCTCTTCCCACTCCTCTCACGCCCCGTTTCCCGTCCCTCTCTCTCACTCTCCGTCCTGTTCGGGTCAAGCGAAGCTTTTCTCTGACGCGCTTTTGCAGCTGTTACCTTTTGATTCCCCTATCACGGCTCTCCCGTCCGGTCGACCGGTGTGTAACCATAGGTCGACTCTTTGCGCGCCCAAAGCTCCGCCAAAAGTCTCAACGACACGCGAAAATCCGTACTGTACCAGCAACGGACCGGCTGCCCACGCGCCTCTTCGACGCAGCGCTCCGCACCTCCGCCCCGAAAAGCTCACACAAGTACCTTACCTCTCTTCGCCTTGGGGATACCTGATTCGACCCAACTTCACCCACCCCCATCGCGACTCGCAAACCCCATCTACCTTCCGCCTTACAGGTCAAACCCGCGCCGAGCTTCGAGCACCAACCCGGAGGACTGCGCATATCCACAGCTGCAGCAGGGCGATCGAGAAACGTCTTTGCCAGTTCGACGCTACCCTCTCCTTGGACTAGACGTTGGCCATTCCTGTGGGACCCGCAAACGCAGCCACCCTCATCCCGCTTTTTTTCAAGTCTCTGTCGCCAAACTCAACTCGGGCAAGGCAGCATACAGGCCACCCCAGGAAGATCCGTCATAGCCTGAAGTCAAGACAGGGCCTGCCAGGGGATCGCGAGTAAAAGTAATCCTGTCCAGGACAGGATTGACGCACACTTTCTGCAGCTAAGCCGCCAGACTTGCAAGCCCTACGGACCTGCAACGTGTCAGGGAACACATCATCCTAAGCCCGTCGTGTGTGCGAGCTGCAAGAGCCCAAGCAAATTACAAGAACGCCAGCAGCCGCTGCAGGTAGCCAAATATGTCGGACTCCCCCCAATCTCCTCCCAAGGATGTCGACCAAGGTGTACAATCACCGGAAGAGGAACAAATGAACGAGGCTCAAGACCCACAGTCCGGTGGACTCACCTATGAGTTCGAGGTCAAGGAGCAGGACCGCTGGTTGCCCATAGCCAATGGTAAGCCACATCCCCTTCCCCAACGAAATCAAGAAGCCGGCGACGACTACGACGACGACGATGCTTGACCTGAGGCTTTGTGTTTGCTTGCGGTTGCTATGACTATGGTCTGTGAACTGGATTGGCCGGTCTGCTTGCTTGCTCTCCGCTTCCACTCGCTGTTCTTTGACGTTGGTTGCGAAATAGTCAACCAAAACATCACCAAAGACGGCAGCGCAGGGCTAGAAGGGATCAATGTCTCACGAATCGTCACCAAAGTCGCCAGAAATAACAGGTGCTTCCGGCGGTGAGAAGTACGATGAACTTGACGCTAATATACGAAACTTTGCTCCAGTCGCCCGCATCATGAAGAATGCGCTCCCTGAAAACGCAAAGATCGCCAAGGAAGCGAAAGAATGCATGCAGGAATGCGTCAGCGAGTTCATCTCGTTCATCACGAGTGAGGGTAAGTGCAATTCCTAACCGCTGCTCTCCCCGAGTTTAGGGGCAACGAGACTGAAGAGATATCTGACCTATCACAGCCTCGGAGAAGTGTCATCAGGAGAAGAGAAAGACGGTTAACGGAGAAGACATTCTATTCGCCATGACTTCTTTGGGGTTCGAGAATTACGCAGAGGCCCTCAAGATCTACCTCTCGAAATACAGAGAAGTATGTATATTCTATATTTCGGCTCAGAACTCTGCCGTCATCAACTTCTAAACAGGACTAATGAGCTCAACTGACGATTCCAGCAGCAATCCCAGTCCAACAGGGGAGAAACCTCCCACCGTCCAGGCAGCAGTGGCTACGGCGCCAACCCGCCAACCGGAGCAGGAAGTTTCCAAGCCGAGCCACAAAACAGCGTCCTCGGAGGCCAGCAAGGAGATGGCACCGCCGACGCTCAGGGCTACATGTACGGCGCGCAGACAGGGCACAATGGTACCGGCGGTGCCGACGGCTACCAGTAATGTGATTCACACCTGAGACGGCTGGATAGTGTTTTGAAAGGGCGATTTTATCTTTTTTTTTTTCCCATCTCGACATATATGTACTAGTTGCGACTTGACGACGACCAAGCCCGACGAATGAAGGACGCCTGGACATTTGTTCAAGTCTGTATAAGTACGGAGGCAGGGGGTCTCAGACTACCTGGCCATGGATGGAAACGGGGCACACGGTTGTATATGAGGGCCTCAGGAGTCAGTTATGGGAAGGGGAGCGGAACGGTTAACCCAAAAGTGTGGAGTGGAGGGGGTTCGTCTTTTCTTTGACTCAATTGTCTATTTGATAGATTCCCCCCAATGGCGTTGCGATTCAGTAAGCCATGCTCAACCAATCAGTGGTTTTGAAGCATCGGCAGAGAGCAGTTCAGCAAGCATCGAAGCTTTTGGAAACGGACCCGGGCCGTATCTCCAAAGCACTGGTAGCTACAGCACTTCAGATAGCTTGTTATTCCACTTCCGTCGCGCAAACGAACGAGGCACATGGGCTCCATTGTCATCGTTTGATCTTGTGCAGCGCGGTCAGGCTATAGCTGCTGGCTGCCTTGATCATCCAACTTCTTCATACCGTGAGGTGTGTAAAGTAGGCATCCAAGGTATGTTGAAATATATATCCAATAAGAAGCTCAAAGGACGTCGTCATAGGCTTCAAGGTTCCCCAGTATCTTGGCCGCCACTTAGATTCCACCAAGCTCCCGTCATTGTTCCATTACCGAGAGTGCACGGTCCAGACGAATTCCAGGGGTCTTGAGTGCTCTGAAAGACTGAGCCTGGGGGCAGCCCACCAGCCCAAGTCCAGGTTGAACGAGGCACGTGCGCAGCCCCTCCAGTCTCAAAATTTTCCCCCCTTCGCAGCCAAACAGAACGGCGGGCAGCCCACTCGACGAAAAAAAGCGTCGGCGGCAGCTCACGCCGAACTAGAAACTTTACCAGGCAACCAACCGCCACCGTACCACGAAATAATTTCGGTCGGCCGACACAACAACGTCCAGAAATCAACACGTTCTTTCGAGGACAATAATTCGAAACGATTCCACATTGTCGCAAGAGAGCGAGACATGCATAACGACTTTCCCTGCAGATCCTCGCGCCACACAGTGACCCTTCAATGAGAATTGCCAACCGCCGACCACTGTGAAGATCTGACCTCGAGCCTGAGCCGCCGGAAGAAAGAGAGGGAAGACGAAGGCGAGAGCACAGAGCCTCGGCCACCACAAACAACCCATTCTCATGCGTCCTTTCACCCCCATCTCCAGACACCGGTCTGGTCCACCACCGAGAACGGCGACGCCCATAAAAAGCATCTTGCGTCAAACGACAGTCCTCGGCCGGAGGAAAGCTGACGAAATCGAGTTCGATGACCCGCCCTCGAGCCCGACAAAGAGGCGGAAAGTCCTCATCAACGAAATGAAAAACCGCGTCTTCGAGTTTGGCAGTCGCTCAATGGACGAGGTCAACTCGGAAGTGAGGAAGGCACTGGAGGAGCACCTCATGGGCGAGGACGAGGACTACGACATGCTCAAGGAGATTTTCGCCAACGACAAGCAGCGATACCTGCCACCCGTCGCCGGAGAAGATGAGGATACGCTCAAGCCCCAAGAGCTCAAGGGCTACGTTCTGGCGCTGACCAGCTGCGTGCCGCTGCTGAAGAACAAGGCTTGCAATGGCCTCGTGAAGACTGTCTTGCAGGTCTCGTGGTTGGGCCGCGACGAGGACTTCTTCAAGGTGTACATCCAGTTCCTGGCCGCTCTCGTCAGTGCCCAGGGATCCTATCTGACGCATGTCTTGTCCATGATCGTCGAAAAGTTCTCTCACTCTAGACAGTCAGAGTGGAGCGTCGCCGATTTTCCCACCGTCAGCCGAGCAACGATGCGCGAAAGGCTACACACCGGCCTTCAGTACATTCTTCAAATGTTCCCCGCCGCCACACCTGTTCTCCGCGGCCTCCTCGAAACCAAGTTTCCCTTTGATGACGACCCGAAAAAAATGTTCGTTGCCTACGTCAACAACCTTCTGAGGTTAAAGGAATACGCGGGAGATTTGGACCTCGAAATTGTCGACGTGCTGCTGTCACGACTGGTTAAGATTGATGTCCAGATGCAGACGGATCTCGACGACCTCGACGACGACCTTACGGCATCAGTTGCCTACGCGCTCAGCAAGTCATTGGATACCGGCTCATGGGAGGGCGATGAGGAGGCTTCGGACGAGGACAGCGATGACGAGTCCGTTGACAGCGATGATTCCGACTTTGATGACAATGAGGAAAAGATTCGCGTGGTCAAGGGCAACGTTGAAAAGCTGGATGCTATCCTCGATACGCTGTTTGCCCACTACACACCCCTCTGCGAAAATCCCGATTCGGATCAAGCATGGGAGCGATATGCCTTGCTCGTACAGTCATTTGGAAAAATTGTGCTGCCAACGTACAAGTCCCGCCATACCCAGTTCCTCCTTTTCCACTTTGGCCAAATGTCAGCTCGCCTGCGCGACACCTTTGTCGGCAGTTTGATGCACATTTTTGGTTCGCAAAACCGACCGAGCTTTGTTCGTCAAGCAGCGGCAACATACCTTGCCGGATTCATGGCGCGAGGCGCCCACGTGCCGTCTGACCTGGTGCGCACAGTCTTTGCGCTGTTGCTCAAGCAGATGCAAATCTACCGCCTCAAGCACGACGCGGACGCCCGAGGACCAGATCTGAGAAGACACCAGATCTACTACGCACAAGTACAGGCCGCGCTGTACATGTTCTGCTTCCGCTGGCGCGACTTGATCGTGTCCACACCAGAATTTGTCGACCCAGAGGACCCCGCATCGTATCTTGGTCACGAGCTGGAATGGATGCAAGGGATGAGAGAAGAGCTCTCTGCCAGCGTATACTGCAAGATGAATCCTCTCAAGATCTGCGCACCGGCTATTGTCGAGGAGTTTGCGACACTATCACACAAGCTCGGTCTCATGTACATCTTCCCGCGTGTCGAGGAGAACAAGCGGATCAGACTGTCACAATTTGTATCAGACACCTACGGCACTGGCGGCGCACTCCGAGATACGGGCTCGGGAGCGCAAGACGAGGAAGCATACCAGCTTGACCCCTATTTCCCGTTCGACCCTTACCAGCTGCCCGTGAGCAAGCGGTGGGTCCAGAACGATTACGTACACTACCAGGCTATCCCGGGTCTTAATATGACGGCCGACAGTGACAGCGAAGACGACGACGAGGAGAACGTTCCGGAGACAGACGTTGAGGAAGACACTGCTACCGCCAGCGAGGACGAAGACGACGACTGAAGCGGGTTCCGTGAGAGAGGCGGGGCAGATCAAATGCATTCATACGGCGTTGGGTGGTCACAAAAAAGTAAAAGCGAATTTGGGCCAATTTGGCATTGATTACATGATTCCCGCAAGGCGTTTGGGGGTGAAGAAGATGACGAAGAGATTTGAGATGTTGGAAGTGGTGGAAAGATTTCTGGAAGCAGACCATGTCGAAGATGTTGAAGAAGCAAAATTTCTGAACCGCTCTACGAATAGTGGATGTGAGAAAGATGGGAAAGAGATACCTTGCTTTCGTCAACCCACAACAAGGTCGCTGCCAGTATAATGAAAACCAAATCATTGTCAAGACTTGTTTCTCAGCGCTTCAGCTTTTCAGCCGCTACCATTCCTTTCGTTTCTCGCTGCCCTCCCTCATCAGTGACAAATCGTTGCAACAATTTGAATCTGATTTGAAAAGACGCAAAGGGATGGATGGATGTGCAGTACCTTAGTAAGATCTTACCAAGGCAACTCAAATTCTTAGATTCTATCGAGATTGCAGCTGAGGTGACACCCACGGTAAAATGGTACGGTGTTAGGCGCCAGGCACGTGAGGTGATCGGCCACTTGTCCCTCAATTGGATAAGCGCCGTCCCTCACCTCGCTTCCCTCTCTCCTCAGGCCTGTCGGTTAGTTCCCTTGGCGTACCACTGTGCCGCCCGGCAGACAGACGAACAAGCCCCAGAATCCCTGAGAATCCCTGGGAGGAGGGGCGGTTTCCTGTGCTGTGTAGGTAGGTAGTGCTGTACTCCGTACGCTGCGGCGCTCTGGCGGTCCCTGCCAACAGCGAGGAAGTTTAGCTGGCTCTGGCGCTCTCTCTTATCTCCATTCTCTGGGCCCTTTCCTCCTGCTCTTGCGGAGGTGCGCTGATGAAGAGGAGGAGAATGAGGGTCTCCTCCCCCCCCGAAGGCGGGCAGAAGAAAAGAAAAAGGCGCCCATGGGAATTTGGAATTCGCCCATCTTTAAGGCGGACGAAATCCCCTCACGGGCTGCCCCTTCCCATAGTTTTGAAACTCCGCTCCGAACCGGTGGGAACATTTCCACCTAATTATCTGCAAACGAGAGAGGGAAAAAACGTGACGACACTTTTTTTGGTGAGCGATCGATCAAATCGGAAGTCATCGACGCCAAACGTCACCCCGCTCATCGCACCTCTCATCTCATCACTCAACTCACCTCAAGCACTCACTCACTCACATCTCACCAATCCACCACGAAACGCCGACCGACACCACACACCTCCCATCGTCGGCGGTGAAGTTGCAGCGCCCAGCTCATCTCAATTGCAATTCTTCACGGCGTGTCGCGGTAATGGCGGACAATCAGGTGCGGCTGCAGCACGAGGCTTCGGTGAGGGCGGGGGAGGGGCAGCACCTCAGCCAACACCAAGGCCAGCAGCAGCAACGGCAGCAATATGACAGGTCAACGAGCGGCGACAGTCGAGCCGGCTTCGAGGAGTACTGGAGAGAAGAGAAGGAGAGCGAAAGGGCCGGGAGGGTGCAGTTCGTGAACGAGGGGCCGCCTTACCATCATCAATCGTCGTCGTCGCCGTTGGATCACCAATCGCAGCAGGTGTCGGGAGGAGGAGATCAGGAACTGCAGGGTTCTCGTGAGTATTTTGTGTTGTTTTCTTCATCCTGATGATGTTCGGT